GAGAGAGTAAAATAGCCCAAGCTTTAAAACAATTATTTTAAATTGAAGTTAAGTTAATCTATATGTGATAAATTGCTGCTGTGGTTTATTTGTATATTCCTTTTTCATTTCTTTCTTTCTTTTTAATTTGTATTTTTTTTATTATCATTTCAAATAAGAAAAATATAATCACAAAAACATCTCAGATGGCTAAATCGTGGCCAAAATCATACAGTGCTCCAGCTTGGCTCTGTTTAAGGGGATGGAAGCCAAGCATGAAGCCTACAGTATCTACACTTGTGGGGTTAGCAGTTGGTTTTGGCTGCCTAGCTTGGGACAGGTCTTTCCCAATCCTCAATCACCAGTTCTGTTGCTCTCAGGCTGAATCTTGAAGCCCAGTCTCTGGTTTCTTCCGATCTGGCGGAGAGCATGTTACTTAGCCGATCTAGTGCTGAGGAGCTAGACGAGACAGGAGTCGATATGTTGACCACATATCAACCTGCCTCCTCCACGTCACTGGCGTATGGGGAATTGTTGGACAGAATGACCTGCGCCATCGCCAAGTTAAGGCTGGACTGATCGGTAGAAAGGCAGGAACGTGAGCAATCAATTGGATGAGCTCTTCCTAACAAGTCATATACATTGCGCCCCTGACCCTTCCATTCCTCCAAGGACTTTACAGTGAGCTGTTGAAGTCATGGGGGAATCTCTTTTCTGTCCATGTCTTCCCCCCTAACAAGTAATGTGAAGGGGTTGGAAGACAGTGGGTACACAAAGATGTCTCAGATGGAGGAAGCCCTTTCGTCTTCGTCTGGATCTTCGTCTGGATCTTGTGGGCAAGGCATATGTGGCAGCTGGGAAGGCCAGCGGTATTCTGCATAACGTAGTGGTAATGCAGGCATACCAGGCGGATATGCTAAAGGACACCGATGTGGTGACGGCGGTGACTCCTGCAGAAATCGAGGAGCTCTGCCACTCTTCTGATCTTGCCCTCCGTTCGACCAAGCAGGCTGCCCGCCATCGGCCGCTCTCGTTACAAAGGTCGCCACTGAGAGGCACTTAACCCAGCGCAGTCTCATCCCAAGACGTCATACAACTGACGCTTTTGACCATACGTCAACATCCGGCATTTTAGGGTACCCTTTAACGTCGTTAGATGCCGTTATCTAATCCTAACCCTACCCCAGACCTAAACCTACCCCATCACCTAACTGACGTTAAAGGTAAAGCGTCAGTTGGATGACACCCCAGGATCGTCATCTAACTGATGTTAAAGGGTATCCTAAAACGATGGATGTTGACGTATGGTCAAAAGCGTCAGTTGTATGACGTCTTGGGATGAGACTGTGTTACTTTACCTGTCGGGGTTAAAGGAGATGGACAGGTCCTTTCTCCTTGATGCCCCTGTTTCGTCTGCCGGACTTTCGGCACCACCACAGTCAGCTGTGTTTGGGCGCTACAACACACGCCGCAGAAGGCGTCCTTCTATCCCCCCAGCTGAACCTGTCAATGGGCTCAACATGGCGACCTGGTCAAAAGGCGAGGGTAGCTGTGGAGAGCCTCGCCTCTTATGATTGATGACAGGATATAATGAATATACGGAAGATCGGTATATAATATATACGGGCAGTATCGCCTCTTGCATTCACACTTCTTATAATCTGTTATGCAATATACAGAGTGGATTTCCCTCTTAAATGCTTATTCAGTGATGGCATTCCCTGAAAGGTGTTCTCGGGAATGTCACAACCTTGAGCTCTGCCTGTGGGCTGAGTTCTTTTTGACTCAGTCCTGCAGGGAAGTGAGGAAAGGTGCAAGCCGTGTCTGCTCTGGAAAGGCAGCTCTGGCTTTTGAGAAAAACAGGTTTAATTAACTGTCATGTCCTGTTATCGGGACGACTGGCACTCTTTATTTATTGCCTTTTTTTCATATCAAATATTTAAGAAATCATTATAGATTAGGTGTCATTCGAAAGCTTACAAACTCAAAATTCATCCTGTGAAAACCATTTTGAAATTGGACGATTGAGAGGTGAGCAAAGACTTGCAGACTTTGTTGTTCTCTTGTGCTCCGCATCACACCACAACATAACGCTAGATAAAAACAAATAAATAAAAACTTGCGTGCCGTTGTAGTTTACACAGGCCTGGCGAAACCTTTATTCTGTCGTGTGGTTTATTTTGATAGTGTTAAAGCCGCGTGAAACGGAAGTTGAGATTGTCATGTTTTCCTTGTTGTGACGCATATCCGAGTGAAACGGCTTCTGAAATAGAAAAAAATGTAGGGCAGGGCTTGATTTTGTCCTTTCGGGAATTGATTGGATCGTTGGAGGTTGGGCATTGCAAACAAAATGGAGGCGGATTTGAATGCGATTCTCTAAGAGGCGGTGCACCGATAGCCACACCCTCATCAGATCTGGCCGCACCATTTTGCCATTGCACGTGACCAAAAGAGAAGAGAGGTTGTTTCGATGGGGGAGGGAAGGGTAATGTATTTGATTAAAGATTATAAGGGTAAATGATTTTTTTTTAAATAATGAAGTCCACAGATAAATCGTTCATAATAAACACTACAATATTACATTTAAAAAGAAGATGTGTCAAATTTGATTTCATGCTGACTTTAAAGGGTAGCTAAACCCTAAACCAACTTTTTCAAGACTAGTGAATGATCTGTAAGAATGGGGCTTTTTTAATGCTGATTACTGATTCAAGTAACTTTTTGGACATTTGGGTATAAAGTATTTTAATTCTACAATATATGGTGTAAAAAAATGTCTTAGTGCTGCCCTCTTCAGGTTGAACGGTGGCTACTGCAGTTAAATTTTGCGGTTCTTCATGATGTACGCAGGTTTCAGCTCACCACGCCCTTGGTACGAGCTACCACGCCCTCAGCAGTTTAAAAATTGTTTCGTGGCTATTGACGTCCCCTCTATCTCCGCTGGAGTCTGCCCATTTTTTCAGCATTTTTAAAATATTGCCACTGCCAGTGGATGGAGTCAGGTCCAGGGGTTTACCCTTTAATACCCCTTTTCCACCCAAAAAGAACTGGTACTGAACTGGTGCTGGTTCAAAATTGGTTTGGAGTTGGTTCAACTTGCGAACCCTTTCAGAACCTCTTTGTTTTTCCATTGACTAGAGCGCCCAGGGAACAACTGTTACGTCACTGTGTAGGTCGCCATACGTCTTAGCTAGAAACGCTTGCAAGTACAAATTACTTTGGAATTATCTCTAACTTGTGTACCAAGAAGGCTTTAAAAACAATTGGAATAGGCCTATGTAAGTCTTTTAATCTTTTCCTTTGATGTGATATTTTCTGATTAGTTGTACCCCTCTTTTGTGTCTTTTTTTTCCCTTTCCATTTATTTGTTCTATATTGTGACTGTTTTCTTCTTTGCTTGTAATGTTTTCAATTAAAATTAAAAAAATGTTTCTGCAAATGTTTCTCCTGGATTTGTTTGCGATCCTTTATTATGGTCAGAAAAGATGTTTAGAGCACATCTAAACCCACCCCAGCCCCCGACGTAAGCATGGCGTTGTAAAAGAACGGTTCTAGTCCAGCAATGGTGCCGCTTTGGAACCAGTTTTCCCGGCCGAGAACCGGTTCTTTGGCTGTCGAAACACTAAGAACTGGTTCACGCGCTGGCACCGGCTGCTCAGAACAAGCTCTCAAAATGCTTTTGTGGAAAAGGGTTATAAGAGAAGGAAAGATAAATGGGATATTTGGTTGTTTTTTTGCCCCTCTGCTGTGCTGTGCGTGTTCTTAAAGAGAAAGACGTTTTCAGCTTGCCAGTATATTTTTTTTCTATTTTTCTCCACTAAACTAGTGAATTTTCCCAAGATATATTCAGAGATGATAAACAAGATGTTATAGAATAGTAATTTATTGAAAACCAAATTTTGACAAAAAACTGACAATCTGTCATAAAAACAATGACATTCAATCTGATTTTAGACCTTATACCAGCGCAACATCCGACGGGTTTACCTTAGATCGCATCACAAATGTATGCAACTGTGAAATAATGATGTTACAAATTAAATTACAATGAAAAAAATGCTTAATCTGTAGTGCCTTTTTGCATTTTAACACAGGTTCTGTGTATTCATAGGTCTCGTCCTTTTCAAAATCCTGATAAAAGAATAGAAAGCTGCTGTCTTTGCCATCCTAACACCTGCTAATGTCATTGAGATGCTCCATGTCTTTGAGACATCCTTTCTCTCTGGCTTCCTTTGAGATGAGACCATTATAAAATATTTTTGACAGGAGACAAACTGGCCATAGAATCTAAAGGCATCATAAACTGCAGATTGTGCTGCCATAGTTCTCACGTCAAACTTTCAGAAGACTCACATAAAAATACCTGTCAGCAGCTACATAAAACACTGGGATTTTAGTACATTTTCATTTGCGTATACCGGTACCATAAATCTGGAGGTTGGAGGTTTCTCAGCACCGATGTCAGTATTTTCAAAGTTAAAGATAGTTCACCCAAAATTAAACATTTTGACTTCATTTACTCACTCTTGGATTCCAATTCAAACCAATGACTTACTTTTTTATCTTCAAAACACAAATGATAATAAATAGATATCTTTATAATTAAAAGCAAAATTAATCATCTTTCGCCTCCCACAAAAGAAATGAAGTCATTCAGGTTGGAATAGCATGAGGGTGAGTAAATGATGACAGAATTTTCATTTTTAGGTGAACTATCCCTTTAAAGACATGCATAATAACATGATCTGTTGCAGAACAATGCTGCACACTGGTGGTAGCTTTGAGTAAAGCACAAAGTAAACAAATGATTTTTTTCCCCCTTACTCTTCAATTTCACTTTAAAAAGAATACAATTGTGAACAGACTAAAAGCACAGAATAAAATATTAATTCAGAGAAGCAATATAAAAGTAAAGTCAATTTAGGAGATTTATCAACAAGACAAAGACAGTTATCTTTAAACATTTGGTTTATTTGTACCATGATCACAAACATACAGTATGTTGTCGTATAGTTGCATAGATAGAGATATTTTAAGAACATAAAATACATCTGTAACAATTATGTAAATACTCTGAGCTGATGCAGTAATTATAAAGGACAGAAACTAAAAGAATCTAAAAAGCATTAACTTAAAACCATTAGAAATGTTTCAATAAATAAAGTATCACCATAGGCCATGCGTAAGCTTAGACCTTCATAACTGGTTCCCAGTTTGCATTAAAAGGTTTAAATACACAATTCAACAGTATTTCTATTTGTGCTAGAATTCGATCAATGACATAATTTGCAAAGGCTCCAGCATTTAAGAAGGATAATCTGTATTCATACCCGGTTGTAATTCAGCCAGTAGGAGGACAGATTGTGTCAGTTCCCTGAACTTAACACACGGTATCATTGGATCTGGCTGTCTCAAGCTCCTTCAGACCTGTTCAACAGGTCAGACATGATGCCATTAAAACGCTCTATCCAAGTCCTCTTTAGTCCCTACACAGAACAAAAGCTGAGTCAAAGCGAATTCCCAAACAATATTTGGCCTCTTCAGCAAAGGCTTAAAAAAGGAAGGATTATCAAAAACTACTGTGGCTGCACAATCACAGTGACAAGGCACAGCATCTGGTTCTTCTGCAATTGAGGTAAACATCTGGTGACTGGGTGTAAAAGTTCAACTTGCAATCACCCAGACAATTGGTCGGTATATATATCCAAGCTTTATGGTCTTTTAAACCAGCACATTCAAGCTTAATGGTCTTTTAAACCTGCACAAGTACCCATTAAGCTGGATAAAGGTCAAAAATGAGATTATACATCACATAATTCTGACTGCATCATCAAAAATAGATTAGAAGGAGATAAATATACGAGCAAGAGCTTGTCTAGCATAAACCATTTATATTAATGAAGAAAGGTCACGCCCTAACTGAACTTTAGCTATTTAAATTAAGCTAAATGTGCTAAAAAAATGTTTAAATGCATAATTTTAAGACAAATGCCATGAGATACACAATGACCTACATTTAACAAAGTTTGAGCTAATAAACTTAAAAGGCACAGCACATGTATATTTTTTTTAAATACCACTTTTTGGTGAAAGATGTGGACAGATGATTGTCTATCCATTTTCAGAACCTTAAAGAAATAGTTCTTAAAAAAGGTCAACACTAAAGTGTATAACCTGAATTCTTTTTAAATATTATTTTAAAACGAAGCATGCTTTTTTGGACCCTGGCATTCACTCGATAAAATAATAATAATAATTATTATTCACTGTGGTCAAAATCACTGTTCACTGTTCATCTTTTATGTTCCACAGAAGATCACAACAATAAATGATGACAGAACTGTCCTTTTTGGTTGAACTATCCCTTTAGTTAAATTAATTCTGGAATCATTTAAGGCTCGCCCACAAAATCAGAACAGATTTTCATAGTCCACAAAAATGGTGAAAAAAAAAAACAAAAACAAAAAAACATAGATTTAAGAGTTTTGTCAAATAACCACTATTCATCTACTGTGAAAACAGGAAACCTCGCAAGATCTCTCACGGTCAAACGTGACCTTGGAATAAACAAACATGGTGGACAACGGGCAAGAAGAAATGGCAATAAAAGTGTTTGGACTGCTTTTTTGCAGAAAAAAAAAAGAAAAAAAACGTTGGATGAAGTTGTGATATGCTTACGTCGACTCATTTTCTGATTTGGCATTGTTTAGTTCCACGTAACAATCTACAGAGTTGCGCGCACGTTTGTCCACAACAAGGATTTCTGATTATGAATATTCAACATGATGGACATTTACGATTTGAGATCAGTGCGGTCCCGATGTTCTTCTGACCAGATTCATTCACTCTTAACACCTCACTCCACAGGAAAACCTGATAAGATAATCTGTAGAATCATCAAGATAATCGGGATTTTAACCTAGAATAGTAGGAAGGGGAGAATTGACCGTTCGCAAAGACCCGCCTCTCTTAGTTACTGTCGCTATGTCCCACAAGCTACGCCACTCTCGCACCACACGCAGTGAAGAATACATCGCAGAGCAGAGAGGAGATTGACAACATGCTGACAGACCAGTTTACTTTTCAGTTACGTTCAAATTTGGACATTTTTTAAAAGAAATTTAAGAATAAATACCGTGGCTCTTTAATGTGTCGTGACAGATCGCTGTAGAGCACCAGTTAAAGCTGCTTGTGAACCGATAATCTCTTCCTTCTAGTTAATGTATAGCATCGAATGAACATAAGAAGGAATGTTGTTTTAACTGACGTCAATACACACTGTTCAAATCCTCCCACATTAATCTACTAACTCTCCTGACTGCTTTGTCGGACAAAATGGCGGATTGTGAGATATGATTGGTCAGATCATCTGTCAATCAAGCTCCCTGCGAAGGGTCAATTGGGTCCACAATCTGTGTGGGTGCCTTTACATATAAATCTCCATATTAAGGCCAAAACAGACAAACATTAAATTAAAGACAACTGTTTACAAATCAATACATAAATTATTACACAACAGTGTCACAATCACCATTCTTTGACTTCAAGCTTTGGGCATAAGAGATGGCATCACCAACAGTGTGAAATTTTATTTCTTTGGTTCCTTTCTTTGGGTCATAGTATCCTCCCCTACGCAAAGAATCAATGACGGAGATGTTGCATTGTGCCAAAAGTACATTGACTCCCAGCTCCTTGTAGTCCTTGCATACCTCTTTCAAAGCATTAACTCCAGCAGTGTCCAGAAACAGCACTGGACTGCAATCTATGACCAATGCATGTAAACTGGTGTGCTTTAGCAAATACACATTGGTGGACACTTCAATCTCTTGCTTGGGGTCTTCTCCATCTTGTTTCTGTTTCCTCTGCTTCTCTAGTTTTCTGCGCCTGGCCTTCTCTTTAAGTGGATCCAATCCTACACTGCGGTACAGTGACTTCTTAAACAGAGTTTGGTTGGCGTAGTAGATGGGAGCCTCGTATCGGAAAACAGCCACATCTGGTTGGGTCTGAAGGCCCTTGTAAAACCCAATGTCCTCAAAGAGCTCACGATCCCCTGCTTGGCCCAGCTGAAGGACTTGGGCACACTGGGTTCGGCCTAGCACACAGAAGGCAGAGAGAAGAACTCCAACCAGAAGGCCTAGCTCAGTGTTCACTAGGGCTGACGTAGACATGGTAACCAGCCAGATTATAGCGTCCACTCGATTGACACGCCACATTTTGGGAATGTCCACAAACTTTCGCAGTGCCCCACGGAGGTTGACGACTATGATGACGGCCAGAACACATCTGCAGAGTTAAAGAGGACGAAATTAGGAGAAGTCTAGTGGAAATACGCACACTTTGAAGATAAAAATGGCACTGGGTGTGAACACCTGAATACTTTCCTAAGGACACTCGTATGATGCTTTTACAAAGTTACTAGCCATATTTTCACTGGCCACAATTTTTTGACATCAATAGCATGGGGATAAACTGGCAAATAGATTTGAATATTTCTTAATTTGGCAGCGGGTATGTTAGGCTGCTGTCACTTGACGCATGGATTCCTTATACTGTTACACATGAGTTTTCCTTATCTGTTTACATTTACTTTACAACTGTCTATGTGAATATTCAACCCGAGACCCGAGAGAGAGTTCAACTGGTATTGTGCATCTATTCTACCGGTACTAAAAAAAAAATTAATACTGAAAGCATTTCAGATATTTCAGTATCGATATGTATCGAAAAATCAATATTTTCGACAACACTACATTGCCTTGCAATGTCAAGACCTGCAAAGGTGTATTCAAATCATTGTATGAATAATTGCATTTTTATTGAATGTTTTTCAATAAAAAATTAGATCCTGACTCTTCCTACATTGATAATTTATTTATTACTAAGTTCATGCAAGTGAAACTGACAATTTAATACGTACTTCTGCAAGGAGTAGAAGAGAGGTGCAATAACAAGCAGGGCGAGCAGCAGCACTAGAGCGGTCACCAACCCCGAGACCTGAGTCTGGCAACCTGTGGACTCCTTCACAAGAGTTTTGGTCAAGGCGGCGCTGGTCGTGAAACAATGGAAGAAGGAAGGAATAATATTACAGAACCCAATGGCATACATCTCCTGGTTAGGGTCCACCATATAACCATGCTTCTTGGCAAACATCTCTGACAGAGACACAGTAATGGCAAAACCAACGATGGCAATCGAGAATGCATCAACAGCGATATTCGGTATGAGAGACCAGTTCGGAAGCTGTGGTGGCATGAAGCCTGTGGGAATGTTGCCAGCTACATCCGAGCCATAATTTTCCTTAAACTTTCCAAAGTGGGAAGCTAGAGTAGCAGCAATGACCACAAAGAGCTCAAAAGGAATGGGGGCCTTGAGCTTAGCCTTGAAGCGGTTGTTGAGCTCTTTCGTGGGTACAAGTACAAGCAAGCAGATCCCGCTTGTTATGAGGTCACATATGTTGGTATGACCCAGATTCTTCAGAAGACTGATCCAGGTTTTTATGAGCGAACCCCAGCCTTGGACACGAGGAAGGTGAAGCCCCAGAAAGTACTTCATCTGGGATGTGAGGATGGTGAGAGAGGCGCCAGTCGCGAAACCGCTCAACAGAGAGTCGGAGAGGAAGACTGAGACAAAGCCAACCTGTAAGAGACCCATTAACACCTGCAACCCAAGCAGAGCAAGACATTAATACATTTAGAGATTTACAAAATGCAATAGAAGCTCAACCTTGATAGATGGACCAACCTGGTAAACTCCTGCTGTGAAAGTTAGAGTTGCTCCCACCATAATTGCATAGCAGCTTCGGTCACAGATTAGACCAGTGCTGTTGTCCAAATTTCCCATGATGGTCTGATTGGTGTCCGATGTGTATCCTGCCAGAGTAAGTTCTCTGTCAACCACCTGTCCCACCAGAAGGCACAATACCCCAAACATCCCAACAGAGATGTGTCTGGAAGTTCCCAGCAGGGCGTAGATAATGCTGGCAAAGAAGGAAGTATAGAGCCCATAAATAGGGTCTTGTTCTGCTAGTAAAGAATAAGCGATGGACTGGGGAACCAACAGGATGGCAACAATAAGGCCAGACATGACATCCCCAATGATCCAGTCTTTGAACTGATATCGCGGCAGCCATTTTACGATTGGAATGGAGTCTACGAGCAAGGCTTTGACTCGAGCATGACTACAGGAACACTTTTTTACCACCTTCCTTTTTAACACCTCCTTCCATGGCACCTTCTCTTTTACACACTCTTCTAAAAGGAAAGGAACATCCAACCCCAGATTAGCATCATCCTCTGCTGAAACGCTACCACAGACCTCTTCAACTGGCATAATGTCCAGAAACTCTTGCTGAAACGGGACACAAAATGTACATTAATTAATCTGAATTTGTTTTACAATTTGTATTTATTAATCTCAGGTTGTATTACACAAAATATGAAGTATTTGGTAACACATTTTTCACATTCATAAATATAGAGAAAAGAGTGTAGTTTGGTTTTTGGAAATCTTAAGTATGATTACTATGTATTGACTTATTATAAAGCCCTATATTATCTTCTGTTCCTTTCCCCCGTGAAACACAAAACACATTTTAAATCTGTTTATTCACCTAATGCACCACACTGGCGTGAGGTAGTCATATGGGGATGGGGGTGGGGTGAGCCATTTCATGTATAAATACAAATAAATTACTTACTGCCTAAGAAAGAGATTAGAAGAAATCAAGCAAACAATGTCAGTATCAGCAGACTTTATTAGTATTACAGAAACATTATTACACACATCTACTAACACATTGGCTCTCTCATAAAAAACAAAAAAATAAAACACTTGGCAATATTGATGATGGCAAAAATTATCACTCATTATGACTGTAGGAACAAAAATGTAAGAAGCATCTGGCACAGTCTTGCTACTTTTCCAAATAAAGGATCTGCTGCACATTTCTCCTTATCAGTGAGGCAACATTGGAACTCTAATTTTATCTGCCTGTGATTTGGTTCTCGTTATGTCAAAATTCACACAGTTGTAACATATGAGGACCATAAAGGATTAATGATTATATAGAGCAGTAAAAACGGTACTTTGGGTGAATTAGTGAACTACTTAGCAGTACATAAATAGCATAACGTACATAAACTGAGTACATTAACTACTCAGCTTGACTGTTTTCAAACATTGATTGGTGTATAATATAGTGGTGTAAATTGAAGAAATGCATCTCTTTGCATGCTCTCTACCACACTTATTATAATATTTGTCATAACTGCTTAACACCAAATATATTTGCATTGTTCATAGTCTTCTAATGCATCCATGTGAAAAAAGGTCATACATCACTGAGTGATGATAATACATGTTTATTGAGCAGCAAATCAGCATATTATACTCACTTCACAATGATCATGTGACTGAAGACAAGAGTAATGATGCTGAAAATTCAGCTTTGCCATCACAGAAATAAAATACATTTTAAAATACAGTTATTTTAAATTGTAAATATTTTCACAATATTACTGTTTTTACGTGTTTACTGTCATTCTTACTGAGCACAACATTTTGAACATTAGTGTATATAGATATAATAAAAATTTAACTGAAGAAACACATTCCCAAAAGTGTAAAGTTATTTTATTAAAGTATCTTGGTAAAACTATACAATAATGTTTTATTTGTTATCATTAGTTAACTACATTATTTGAATTAACAATAAGAAATATATTCTTAAAGCATTTATTAACATTTGTTAATGTTAGTTAATAAAATTTATATTTTCATGTCAGTTCTCAGTGTATTAACTAATGTCAACTAAGCGTTTACACGACGACATGCTTAAACCTGAAAAGTTTTTCCTTCGAGTTTTTGTGTACAGGCGACATTGTACAAACGATTCACACGGACCTGTGAAAAAGTAAAAAACAAAAACAAAAAAAAAAAAAAACGCTGTATTCTGCTGCCAGGCTATTAGCCTAGATGCCGATGAAACACTATAGACTGAACACGTAATTTGAATGTGCATAACGTCCACTTTTGTAGAGATTCGTGTTTTTGCCTTCAAAAACTTGTACTTTGAAACCCATTTTCAAAAGTTGTACATTTTGAAACCTGTTTGGTTTTGTTAGGTTGGCAAATACATCCTAAAATTTCTGTGAGAAAGGTTTAACTTAATCACCATCTTTATTTTCCATATAGGACACAAATTTGCAAATTTTGAGCTAATTTACTGTAGGTGGCTGGTTTGCTAATGAAATTAGTAGAAGAATAAAACATGTACATACCCTCCAACATGTTGCTACCATTATTAGATGTAGCCTACTTAATATTTTTCAGTTATTTACTTTTGTTCAATTCATTATATTTTATATTATTATCGTGTTAAGTAGTGAAATCACATAGGCCTATATCCCCAAGAAAAAAAGAAACAAGATCATCTTCATGACACTAACCGGATGTGCCAAAGCATTTCCAATTAATACAAATCAGCCAGATCATTAAGTACTTCAAGTCAGGACTAGTAATTTCTGTGGAGATGCTGAAGAGGTTCTTAAACTAGAGGAGCAGATAAGAAGGTCTGATGATGTCCTAAACTGTGAGTACAACCATGCTTGGAAAATAATAATACTTCCCTGCACTATAATCAAGCTTCCCCAGATGTTTGAATTATATCTCATCAAACAGAGATACAGAGTCTTGCCAGGCTAACATCTTTGAGTCAGTTTTTTCTTTTCTTTCCTGACAACGTGGCTAGACCAAGTGAAAATGAACAAGAGATGCTGCCATTGGTTACAGTCACACATATCCATCTTCATTTCTGAAAATGTGTAACATTGAACTTGCGAAACAGAACATCTCTGCGCACATCCAAATACATATTTTAAATGCAAAGTTGATTTTCGTTCGCTATAAATATTTTCTTATCTGCAACGAACCCGCAAAACTCAGTTCACGAGTGTGTCAAATGCCCTTTTGCACAAAGATCAATATCTGATTCGAAACTCAAAAGTAACTGAACATTTCATAGGTTGAGGTTAATCTGCACCAAAAACTCAGTGGGGAATCTGGGGATAGATATCACTATCTACCAGACCTCACAAAAGAGTGCTGTAGTGATAATGTATTTCTGTAGGCCAAGAAGTGCTTACCCTGGTTCCCTCAAAAACCCAATAACATTTATCTATTGGTTTTTGGAGTGGCCTATTGAAGAAAACAAGCTGTGACAAACAAGCTGTGTCAGGCTTCTGTCGTAAAAATAGCCAGCTAATATTCACGCCGGTATGTTGACGGTATTATGCCGGTATTTCAGGTGTTGAGTGATATGTAACTGAATCTTGTCCCAAGTACTGTAGCAGTGGTTTGCCTGTGATTCACCCTAATATAGTCCCAAATCAATACCTGCCTATTTAATCACCTAGTCTTAATTTGACATTATATTTGTACTCGTTGTGAATACACAGGCCACAAGAAGTCTTTTTTTTTTTTTTTTTTTTTTCATTCTCTACGTTCATTCTGGGGCCCACAAATGGTTATGCATAAATCAATTTTAAAAAAGGAGCGGGTTTGATTCAATTTTGTTTGTTTGTTTGTTATTTGAAAGGATGTGAAACCTAAAAGTCAGATTGCGGTTGGCATCACCTTTTACATTACGAATTTACTTTTTAAAAATCACATAAAACAAATGGTTAGAATTAGTGATAGCCTACTAATGACGGGTAAGTTACACGAATCTTTTTTCATATGACAGTAAACGAAGCATGATATCTTAGATGCCGTGGAATTCAGTGATTAACCTAAGTTTAGTTTTACGCTCACAGAAGACTGAGAAAAGCCACGTTGCAGAAAACGTATTTTTACTTTTTAAAAGAAGTTTAAACTTTTTACTTTTTAAAAGAAGTTTAAAAAAGTTGCACTTGTGACAAATTGAAAATCGCAGTGTGTATCTGAATATCTGCAGTGCCGTTTCTCTCGCTAGAATGCTAGTAATTTCAACAAATGATGAATAGTCTGCACAGAATTACATTGCTACGATAATAGCTAAGTTATATAAATTCCAAGACCACATCAAGTTTCAGCAAAACTTACACTTTTTGTATCGCGGCTATCGTCTTAGAAAATGTATGAAAGATAGACATTTAGGCTAATATATGAAAAATAAGTAGCCTATATGAAAGAAAACAACCAGCAGTTTGTTTCATGCTCTGTGGTCTGACTTTATGAATGGCACTATTGAAAACAAAACTGCAACGTGTACAACTATCCGCTGAAAGAAAAGCCCAGATTATGTTGAAAATTTACCTCAGTCCGTCTGCACAACGAGATCGTTTCAATCAGTCATGGTCTTCCGAGAGACACTGAATCACTCAAGAGTTTCGTCTGACTAACTACAGTTTAAGATCTATTCCGTGACATATTATGAAGAAGACATAAGTTTGTAATATCACGTGGACAGCGAAAAGAAGTTACCACTGGTCACGTGACTGCTAGCCTAATTCCTGGATCTGAAACCTAAAACACCCTCAATATTCATATAGGCTAGTTTACAAAGTTCCTACAGACCCTGTGTCCGGGTTGCGAAAATACAACGGGGAGGGTTGAACTTATGAATATTAAGTTGGCAGTTGCAAGTCAAACATTGCCCACAAGCAGACATCTGTGCTGAAGGTTTGGCTCATGAATATTAATAAGACTAATCGACGCTACACAGGAAGGCTTCCAAAACGTCAGCGCTGTCTATTTAATAGTCATTTAGCCTATTTAGAAATTAACATGATATAATGCCAACTAGCTATAAAGTTCTTCGATTTACCTTAATTTTATTAAGGTAGCTAATTAATGTTAATGGTTCAAGGGTCCTAGATGTATCTTAAATTTCATAATACTTCTAATTAATTCATTGTTACATTTCTAAGTTAAAATATCTGGTAAGGATTTAGGATTATGTTCTAATGAAAGTTTTACACTGTAAAAATAAATATGATCAATGAAGTTATAGCAACATTGTGTTGTCATGTTGCTGTAACTCATCAAAACAAGTTTAAGCAATTTTTAACTTTTTTTTCGTAGGTTATACAAGATGTAGTTTAAGTCAGTTTAATGTCATTTAAGTTGAAATGACGTAAGTTAATTGAAATGCGGGAGAACATGGAAATGTTGAAAATATTTGTTTTAACAATCTGTGTTTCCTTCAACTGACCAATCAAGAATCCTCTGATAAGTGAGGCATTGTCAGAAGATAAAAAAAAACAAAAACAAAAAAAACAAAAAAAAAAAACAATCATACCTTATATCAACAAGCCAAAACAAAGTTTGTGAAAGTGGGGGGTGGGACTACTCACATGCAGCTCAAGAAAGAGATTAGAATAAATAAATCCATCAATGTCAGTATCAGCAGACTGTACTATTACATAATTTACCAAGACCTTGACTCCCTTACACTGTACAAAATATTGATGGTTTAACTTAAAAAAGTAAGTAACCTGGTTGCCTTAAAATATTAAGTTTATTGAACTGGAAAAAGTGAGTTAATACAGTGAAGGAGAATGATTTAATCATCGGAAACTCAAAATTATATGTTATCGGAACTAAATAAATTATTTAAGTTGATTTGACAAAAGAAAAAAATGTTGTGATAACCACTGTAAAAAAAAGTAAGTAACCTGGATTGCCTTAAAATTGTAAGTTGATTGAACTGGAAAAAGTGAGTTAATACAATGAAGGACATTCATTTAACCATCAGAAACTTAAAATAATAAGTTATAGCAACTAAATAAATTATTATAAAGTTGATTTGACAAAAGAAAATATGTTGTGATAACAAATCTTGAAAATATTTTTTACAGTGAGAGACATCAGATGGTGAAAATTATCACTTATTATGGGACACAAATGTAAGAAGTTAGCATCTGGCAGTCTTGCTAAGGATTGTAGCCTATTGAGATCTGCTGTTTGTTCTTATCAGTAAGGCAACATTGTAACTCTAATTTTATTTAGCTGTGTCTGGGTTCATGTTACATCACAATTCACTCAGTAGCACTTTATGAGGACCATAAAAGATTAGTGATAGAGCAAATTGGTGTTACTGTAAACTACTTGGCAGTACATCCACAATATGCAGGTCTTTGATGATTAGTTAACATTCAGGGCAGTTAATCAAGTCTTACTTTCAGAACTGATTTGATTAATCAAAAAGATCTGATTAACCAACAATCAATACACTGAAATGAGGCCGACAATACACAAACTGTCAAAACGTCTCAATCATTTATTTTGCATTTATAGTAGTATGATTTTTTTTTTGTAAAGGATTCATTGTTGAAATGAGTCTGGGCATGATTATTTTTATGATTTTATTCTTTTGATTTTGTGTGAAATGTGCCCCAGTCGAGAATCACATTTGAGCCACAGCATGATTACTAAAGTTTTTAACATTTCCTTGACAGATTTGCTGAGCACCACAATATTCACCCTAGGGTAAATGAAACCCTGTGGGTCCGAGCAAGAGTAAGTACTCTTCTGCTGTGAGGCCACAGGTTTTAATCCATACAGCCTTTAAATTCCACATATACTCGTGGAAATGCAGCCACACAACCCTTGAAGAATCAAAGAGCACTGTGTGTGTGTGTGTCTGTTCCTAGAACACAGGGAGGGGTTTGATGCAGTGCAACAGTGTTTAATCTTTTCCTCAACATTCCTGGAGCAATAATTGTAATTGCACAATGTTTTAAACAACATATCATTCTCAAATCATTTTACACAAAAGTACTATATATATATATATATATATATATATGCACCATGAATTACAGGGCTGTGGCAGAATGACAAAGTATTTACTTCTCATCTACAAAAAAATGCTGTAATAAGTATGTTCATAAAAAAAATATATATATATATATATTTTTTTAAAAAGTCACATTTAAGTTCCATCAAGTTTTTTAATTTAAAAATTTTAAACTGTTGCAAACATTAATTGTTTCAATTATGCTCATCTTTAATTTCATAATCTTTTGAAGTTTATTTTTAGTTTAATGTGGACTGGTTGAAATTGATAGCTTTGGTGTGTTCTACCAGGAAGACTCTGATTGCCATGTATTTCAAATAGCTTTTTTTTTTAAATCCCTCATTCACTATTCCCTACTTTAGTCCACTAATACTGTTCACTTGAAGGAGTGAATGAAACTACTTCCTGAACTTCAGCCAGCTCCTTGTTTCCTGTCTGCCATTATTGGACAATTTGATTAATTCAGGTGTGCCTGACCTCAGTAGTCACAGCAACAATAATCAGACACACCTGGATTAATCAATGTGGCCAATAATGGCAGACAGGAAACAAGGAGCTGGCTGAAATTCAGGAAGTAGTGCAGCTGGGCATAAAGCCCATTCGGACAGCCGTTGAGCGTACATCGGTTGTGCACTCGCTATTGCGATTGAATAAGTGCATTCAATAACGTCCACAGTTTCAGACACCACTACAAATGGCTGTCCCCTAAAATATTGCCCAATTTGAGGGTACAGGGGGGCGATTTTGGATTCAGCTTAGGTCTGTCCATCCAGGGTTAGGCTCCGTTCCTGCCTTCATCTTCAGGCAGGATCAGCCGAGTCTGTTTCCGATTTGGACTAAGGACAGAGACTACACCAAATAACTTTTCTATACAACTATAGATAGACACGCCACAGTGTATTGTTCTATGAATGGTATATTGAAAACAAAACTGCAAAACTCCAATGTGTACAACCGACTAATCGACGTTACAAAACGTCACGTTTTTATGCATTCACACTAAGCCTATATTCACTGACATTGTACCCATGACTTTTTTTACTAACACCCTTACAGGAACTGCAGCCAAGCCTCAGGAACTGTGAACAAACCATACATGCAGTGACGTTACAAAAGACTTGCATGGCAAACATGCCAAAGCTTCAGGTACACATACATACAACAGCTCTTCAATGGACAATATTACAACATTCAAGATAAACAGAAAGCATGTCATTGTTGTGACTAATAAACAATAAAAAAATTCTGAATAAGAGACAAATACTATTGTCTTTGGTGAAGTTTATTTTCTTGCAAGAAAAGGTCAGCAGCCATGCTGTGAGGGGAGGGCATCCTTCCTCTTTTATAGTCTTGACCCTCAGAATGATATCTCTTTAGGCCAATAACGGTATTTTCAACTGAACATGCTTAGTCTTGTTCATCATATTTTATCCTTGATAGGTGGCCCTCCTGTCAAGTACCAACACCCTTTTAACATTCCATTACAATTACATATTAGAATTAGGATTATGACTGCTCTTTTACGGTCAGATGATGGTCACAAGGATCATACAATTTCTTCCACATGATAACAACACATGAAGATTCAGAGGCAACAATAGCCCACGTCATGTCAATAGTGAAATCATAGAAAAGTCACATTAAATCCTTGAAATGCCACTATTCACTACTGAAATGCCCTCTTCCTTCCTAATCATCATGAAAGCAAAGTCCTCACTTCACTCTTTGAAAGTATCCCCTTTTTAATTAGTCCTTAAACAAAACTTTGTTCCAAACAATCTATAAATCATATAAAGCCCATATGCAGACACTACAAAGCAATTGAGCAGCAGGGGTGTTCACGAAACCCATTTAGACATTCCAATTCAAATTTGATGACTCTAAGTGAAGAAACAATATCATATAATCACATAATTAGAAAATAAAAAGTCATACCTGTGACAATGTTAAGAAATATCATAAGGAGACGCAATATAGTGAGATGTCAACACTGGATTATTGCAGTGTTAATGGAAAAGCAGGGGCAATAGTTATTTCTAGGATGCAAAATTTTACTGTGTTGCAGGAGATTGTGGGTTAGTAGGTGGTGAAAATGGAGAGCCCACACTTCCAGGAATGGTCCAAACAGGTACAGTATATGGGATCGTTGGGGAAGGATTGTTGGGGAATCTGAGACAAAAGGAAAAGGAGATTGCTGGAGAAACGTTAGAGTATTGGTAGAGTACACAGGTGAGCTGAAAAGAAATTATGCATTCTAAGGTAGGAAGGCATCAAGGCATGTCCAATTCCAAAGTTAGCTTTACTTCATGTCTCTTGAGATCTGATCGATTTTTGAAGGCATCAGATGTGTCTTTCGCTGCCTTTGACATCCTACAATTCTGTGCTTTCCATTCTGTGACAGCTGGGCAAAAAAAAAAAAAAAAAGCACTATCTGAAAGTTGCAACTGGTGGTCGGTTTCGGAGTACATTTTTGACAATTGTTTTCCACTTTTGATGTAATTTCTAGCGAGAAATACTATTGTAGTAAATAAACATTCAATTAGTTATCACCAATGCTCAACTATTTGATTGTAATCATTAAACTGTTGTACCTCTTCAGAAGTCTGTCAGAAATCAGTTTTGTGAGATACCTTCCTTTGTGCACAAACTCTTACTCCCCGCTCACTCCTATTACCGCCACCTACTGTACAGCCTACATGGGTGATGCATCTGTGTATTCTTTTTATTTATTTATATCATTTTTTTAAATTTATTTGTGGATGTAATGCCTCACCCAGCTTCTGCTGGCGCTGCATGTTCAGCTCCTCCAACTTCCACCCTGGGCTCCTCAACCTTCAAGGTGTGCAGAAGCATCACAATCCCCATAGATTATATATTTTGCTCTGATAAAAAAATGTTAGAACAGCCCCATATAGCTCTCTTTTCAAAGAGGTCCATGACATGATTACTGGTTGATTACTACTACTTTGTTGATCGTCAGTTACATAAAAAAAAAAAAATCCCAACCATTTTCAAGCTTCTTTGTTATTGCAAGTGTTGAATTTAATCCTGTGTGTCCTAATCTTAATCTAGAGATCATTACTTATTTCAGTCTGTACCTTCCATTCTTTTCCCACTAATTTTGAAATATTATAATACCATCTCCATGTGCTGCTATATTTTCCAACCTTTGTTGCCATTTATTTATTGATTTTTCCTCACTTCTCCCCAATGGTACTTTTATATCCAAGTTTTTAATGGCGTTTTTGCTAATTTATCTGCAATTTCATTTCCTGCAATCCCAATGTATGCCAGTATCCAACAGATGTACACTAATGGGCTATATGCACGCATAAGTTCCGCATTTGACGCAAGGATGCTCGTCTATTTCCGGTTGTGTAGATTAAAGCGGAGGAAAACCGGAGAAAACGGGATTATGGCAGAGTCTTCAATATTTACTCCCGTCTTTGAAACGAAACGTACATACGTTTAGATGTAATTTTATATATAGTTATGTTTATTTAATATAATTTTAAAAAGAAGCATAAACACAACGAGGGGTGTCTGTTTTATCTGTTTTTGTGACTAACGTTTCATTAGTATAACCATGGAGTATAAAATTCAATATAAATTTTCGCTATTGCATTGGACTCTATGATCGGCGGAAGTTATCGAGCATCCCTAATGCTTCACCGGAAATACCGCCGTGCATAGAGCCCATATGTTTCCCATCTGTATAATTGTCACTTCCTGTAGACATTATACTTTTAAGAGCTAACGATGAATCTGAACAGATCACAGTCCTCATTGCTTAGTCTGTTCAATCTATTTTAGCCCTTATAGCCTAACTGTGGGATACAGAAAATTTAGACTTATTGTTCTCTTAAATCTCAGAATATATACTCAACTTTTTGATTAACTGGATCTTTAGATCCATCTGTAAACATCTGCATAAAAGAGTCTTTCTCTCCAAACAACAACATTGATTTCATTACTGCTGATACCCTTCTTCTGCTTTTTCTCTGTCCTCTAATAATCTCATTTCAACAATAGGATTTTGTGCAAATACTGCCAAAGCCATTGCCTGATATAAAGCAGCAAGGTTTTCCACTGAAGACCAGATGCAGACTGAATGTGTGTGTGTGTGTGTGTTCATATAGTGCTCTTGATGAGGTTGCTGATTGGTGCCAGGTGGTAGATCAGTAATTGTGTTGTCGTGAAGGCTGTGAGTGTGTAACAAACAACAGGCAGGCAAAGGACACAAAAAATGACACATGAAAGTCATAATTATAATCAAAACTTCCTCATAATTGTGGATTATTATATCTAATTATTACCAGTGTTGGGGAAGTTCGTTTTAAAAGTAATGTGTTGCAATATTGCATTACTCCCTAAAAAGTATAACTAATTGTTACTTGGTTACTTGAAAAGGTTATATTTTTGGGAAATGTAAAGGCACTTTCACCCGAAAAGTCAAATTAATCAACCACAGCAAATGTGAAAATGCTGAAGAAAATAAAAATTCACACCTGTACAGTATGACGCCGCTCAAACAAAACCATTCTGGATTAGAATAGGACACATGACAATAAAGTGCACTTTGTTTCCAGATTTCGAGGTACCAGTTAATAAATGGGAAAACAAAGTAACTTGCGTTATATATTTGAAAAAGTAACTCATATTTTTAGTAATCTTATGTAATTTTATATTACATAAGATATTTTGTTGTATATTTAAAAATAATGTGTTTAAAACAAGTGTATTACTCCCCACACTGATTGACTTCTCATCATTTTAACAATGTCATAATTTCAATTTTTTATGTCATAATTGTGACTTTATATATATAAAAACATATATATATATTTGTTACAATTAATGATGTTTGTGATATTGATTTGTATTGTAATGTGATGGCATCGCTATTGTTTAATGTACCAGTAAGAAAATAAACTATCTACTATTTGGTATTAATTAAAGGACAAAATGAAACATATTTTAATGTTATTGCAAACTAAATGTATTTCTAAATTGCATTCTAGTAAGCTCCTAAATTGCATTCTCTTTCTTTTTAAAAGGTAATTATGAACACATAGGCACGATGATTATGAAAAGATAGGCACGCAATGCATTACATTACAATATGTTTCCACTCAGTGGTTAATTTAGCGTCTTGGATGCATTGAAGCATCTTCATCATTGACTTCCATTGAAACAGATGTCGCTTTAAGCGGAGTTTGGCTCCCTCTCGAGGAGGGGATTGCAGCGAGCATCTTGTCACGTGACCTAAATTAATATTCAGTAGTAATATTCTCCTTACAGCAAATCAAGTACGTCGAACGTGACATAAGTATCTTAATATTCATGAGGTAAGCCTTCGCCATAGTAGACGCCGGGCGGTACTGGTACATTGACTGAGTCTTCTGTGTGTGAGGAGTGGAGATGATGGATGCTCCGCCGCTGACTACCGGCTGTGGTACTGAACATTTCAAATATAACACTCCAGTAGACTAGTTTTGAATGGCAACGATTGTATTGAGGAAAGCAGCAGATGAGATAACTGTTTAAATGTTGAATGTTTTGTTATATGAGGAATTGTGTTGATTTGTGCAGTGAGTGAGATGGAGGCCGGTAGAGATGAAGAGGGAGAGGCTCGGGAGGAGAGCAAGGAGGTGAGAGAAGATGCATGGATAAAAGAATAGGCTATATCTTTAATGCATTCGCGTCTATTTATTAGCTGACATTCCCTTTTCATGGACATACATTATTCTCATGGCTACTAGTAGTGTGAATAGGGATGTGACTGTGTGAGTTAACCGGCTTTTTTAATCCATTCGAGGGTTGACACCCTTTTCATGTGACAGGGTCTGCGCATCTTTTGTATTTCATATAAGTGTGCAGATCACACAGACGATGACCTTAAAGGAAAAATATTCATTTGTCACGCAAGCATCATTTGTGCGGTTGCAGATGACACTTCTTAATTTCTCTGTTTGTGGTTTAATGCATTTTTATATTTCGAATATGGTTTCATCATTCATTTTAAAATGTCTTATTCTTGAATGATATGTTCCAAATAAACTGCATTTATTTAAATTTACAAACGAATTGATGTTTTATAGTGACAGTATAAGGTTTCAGGTATCAGTGGATCACTATTTGTGTGGCAAGGCAACACTATTTACATTACAAAGATGCCAGAAGGTTTTTTAGAGCATTGCACCACTGTCGCTATATCTGACAAAGCCCAAAATTATAATATTTAAAGTGGGACCTAAGACAGGTATATTCATTTTGGGACACAAGACATCCTTAATGACACATTGATATCCAGAATAAACATACAGTGTAAGTGTACTTCTGAAATCTGGTTCAATAACTCAAATTGCAGAGCAACCTTTCAGAGAATCACTACACTACAAACCACTATTTTGTGTTAAGTACATTCTGGTGAATATACAGTTCAAAAGTTTGGGGTTGGTAAGAATTTTTTTTTTTTAATTCGTTTTTAAATGCGTAGCTGTCAATGGAGGGACAGCAACCTCTCAGATTTCATCAAAACGATCTTCATTTGTGTCATGGTGTGTAATTAATGACAGAATTTTCATTTTTGGTAAACTAACCCTTTAATATTTTTTCTGGAAACCATGATATATATAATTTTTTTTCTGGACTCCGATGAATAGAAACTTTTGTAACATTAGACATGTATTTAGTGTCACTTTTGATGTTTAATACATTCGTGCTAAATAAAAGTATTCATTTATTTGAAAAAAAAAAAAAAATCTTACTGACCCCAAACGTTTGACCAGTATTGCAAATATACTGTTTTAGAAACTGCATGTACTCTCAAATTTTTTAATTTGTTATAACTTCTATTTTGTCAATATGCCAACACTTTATTGTATTTTCTAGTGCCAGAGACTTGCTGCAGAGAGAGATGAGGCTGAAAGGCAACTCAAGCACATAAAACGAGGTAGGATTGTGAAAGAATGTAAAGTCATATTCTGCAATATATATATATATATTTTGGTAAGGTATGTTTGTCATTCAAAGTAGGAAGAATAATATTGGAATGTGCAGTGTAGAGCAGATTCTGTTTATAGGTGCGGTACATAATCACTTGGATGTCATTAGTGGTAAAGCATCAGATTCATTTTCTGATCATCTGTATAGACCAGAGGTCACCAGTTAGATTGCTGCGGTCCAGATCCCTGCTCAGTCTGGACCATAAATCAATTCTTACAAATTAATACAATTATATATATATATATATATATATATGTATAGATAGATTTTTTTTTTTTTTTTCATAGCACCCCACATAGCCCCTGCTGGCTCTTTTACCACAAAGATGCTCCAAAAGTCTTGAGCTCACATGAAACTGAAATTACGATAGCCTTTTTTGTCTATATGACGTATTCAACGGCTTCTCGGACAAGAAAAAATGTAGGTTGGGACTTGATGTTGTCCATCAGGAATTGGTTGGACTTGGATGGTTGTGATTTGCTATTTCTGTGATGTCATGTGTGTGACAGGTTGTTACGTCCTCACGCCAGTAGCCTAAACATCATCAAGAGGGAGGGGAAGTTATTTCGATTGAAGATTACAATATTTCAAAATTACATTATTCTTCTTTTAATTCTTTTCCAATTCTCCTTGGTATACCCTGTACCCATACATCACCCTTTTCACAAAGAGGAAGAGGCAAAGATGATCTCACTTGGCACATCCCACTACACTGACGCTTGATGTTGTCTTATCTCATTTCCTATCCCCTCACCCTCACCCATATCACCATTACCTGAGGGCTCTTCTGAATGGTCTGTTATTCGTAGGTGTTAGCAGGTATTCCAGTCTCCATGGCTACTGGGAGCCAACCGTAGAGATGTATTAGTGTTAAGGTGACCTTACCTGCTTCCATTCCATTTTGTGACATGTAAGGAAACCTAGCCCTACAAGCTAAGTTGTTAGCACTCTGACAACACTCTAACGGCTGCCAGGAACTGAATCTGGAAATTGTTCTCAGGTGAGAAAATGTTAATTCTTCTCTGCGAGTTTCATTTGACAGGGTTTCACTTGCTTTTTCATAAAAAGGCCAAATGTTGAACTTTTATACTCATGTTTATATAGTGAATATGTGCAGCACTGAGGAGTATTTTTAACACATTACTCAAAGTGTCATGTTATTTATGTAGGAACTTGTAAAGAAAGATTTTTTTTTAATTCTTTTGAGATACATTATTTGGTAATACAGTTTTATTGGTAATACTTTGTGCAATTACTACAGTTACCAAATATTTTCTTAATCATAAACTTTATTCAGCGATAAAGTGTGGGATATCAGTATGTCATTTTACCTGGAAGGCAATTTGGTAAATCATTGTGAATACTAGTTATTGTGCATAACTGTATACTGAGATGAATCCAGTTTTATTTTAGACTAGATTGGCCTCTGCTTTTAGGTTATGCTTGCTGCTCTTTTTTTATTGGTGTCCTGGAATTGTCATACCTTCCCTTGGGAAGCAACGTAGAGCAGCTGAAGTCAGCTTTCATCACTGTCTTGTTATGTCACTAAATTATTAAAAATCACCAATTATGAATAATTTATGAGTAGAAAATGAATAGGCACCTTCCTTTCAACCTTCCATTATAGTTCATGCCAAACCCCTCATGCACTTTCATATCATTTCTGAAATGCATGTCACCTTGAATACAATTTAGTGGAAATATATTCAATATGAATATCTTGTCAAATGTAATGTTCACAAAATGCATGGTATTTTCACAATTACCTTGTGAGTTATGTTGATGAGACTTTTGCACCACTCTCGTTAATTCTTCGTTTTTTTGCAGTGCTTTTATTTTATAACCTTACTACATGGCACAAACATGACACAGCAAATGCCACAGTAGTTTGTCCTACTTGCTGACATACAGGACAATAGTCTTGTGCAGACTGCATGCGATTGGTCTGTGCTCTATTTAATGATTGGCTGCTGCAGGGGGAACTGCTGTTTAGTATCTGGGAGGTGACTGGATCTGTGTCTGGCAAAGCAGCTGTCTCCCACCTCCTCTTTGGGATGCTTCATTAAGAATAGCCTCTGCACTTATGCAAATGAAAACACAGGCCCATGTGTCAAGCTATTACTCAGCTAATTTACCTGTACCATTTACATATCTTACAGTTTGTGTGTGGAAAGAGTGAAATCTCTAAGCCTATATTTACATAAAAACGAATGCTGTTAGCATTTTAATGCATGCAATTTACACACCCACCCTGCGTTTGAAGTAGATTATAGGTTGCAAATTAGTCCTGGAGTTGAAATCAAAATTGCTGGGGGATTATACCTGAACTGTTATGATTTATTAAAAGATCTTAATCGCTGCGATCAAAATTGGAATGGAAGCGCTTCAGACTAAAGGCAACCCCAGCATTGTCTTATAGTAGCAAACACATACTTGTTTGAAGCAGCTGTTTCCTGTATGCTAAGGATGCTACTGTTTTACTTTAAGCTTTCCTCTCTGACTCCGCAGAGCCATATTTTGCTCATGCTGCATTAAGCGTGGTGGACTTGCTGACCTAGAATCTGTACAAAGAAAAAAGCCCAGAAGCAGCGCTTTCTTGGTCAATCATTCTAAGCCAAATGAGATGAGTAGAGGAGTTTGAACTGATCTGCAAGGGAAAGAGAGAGCCACACCCCTTTTATTGTCCTGCCTTAATTTCACGTGCAAATTGACTCAGATGCAGAATTAGTGAATGACCCAGATGCAATGTTGGGGTTAATACATTACAAGTAAAACGAATTCCGTAATCAGATTAGTTTTTCAAGTAACTATTAAAGTAATGCATTACTTTTAAATTTACAACTAAATATCTGAGTTATTTTTTAAAATAAGTATTAACAAATATAACATGATGCTAATTGTAGTTCGAGACTAAAAGGGAGCATACATTTACTTTATCTTACCGTAATTGCACATAAACAGATTCAATATTCCTTAAAATGAGTTATACATAACACAAATGCTGTTTACTTTAGGTATTTAATCTTTATTAACCAACGTCTTTGCTGCTGACCTGTGGTGATCCAATTCAATCATACTAATAGTCAAAAATTCCTTTAGATAAACATCCCATTTGTGTTTCATTTTTTATTTATTTATTTTTTTTATTGCTGAAGTTAGAATTTTTAACTTTCCGCTGAAAGGTCTACTTGAGCTGTGCCCTCTTATTCATTCCACTTTTGGTGTGAAAGGGCCTTTACATTTGGCAAAAAAATACAACTTAACCCCCTAAAAAACAATCAAGTCTATCCCAAGTGAGAAAAAGTAACGCAACACATTACTTTCCATAAAAAGTAATGAAGTAATTCAATTAGTTACTTTTTTAGGGAGTAGCGCAATATTGCAATGCATTAATTTCCCCAATACTGTCCAGATTTAGGTCATTTTACTTTTATTGTAACTTAAATGGCAGATCTGGTGATTTATACAGTATTTGGCTAGTTGACGTGACATTTCAAGCAGTTTCTGCCATGCTCAGTGGTGTAATTTTGTAATCGTCTTTATGTCCTTATGTTTATTGAGAAATGTCGATAAACCTTTTATCTAGATTTGATTACGTGTTGGGTTATGGCTGTGATTGATCAGTAGCTAAAAAATGGATGCAATGGATTTTGTATGACTTTTCTTTTAAATTTCTCTTATTGCTATACTGAATTATACCTTGTTATACTAATTTGATTTTAGGTTTAAAGCGGTCATATTATGCCGTTTTTATACAAGTTAATATGATTCTTTAGGGTCTAAATGAAAAGCTTGTAATATACTTTAATTAAAAAATTCTAGGAAAACTAGGAAATAAACTTGCGCTCCCTGGGCGGGTCTGCACAAAAAGGAGGTGTGTTTAGCAAACTAATTCCCTAGTGCTTTTTTGCATTTACAGAAAAAAAAACTAGTACAAATATTTTTATCATTATATGATGGTTGTCTACAGGCACTGCTAATACACATTTCAGTACAATCAACTTATAATAGTGCATGTAACATTATATGACCCCTTCAAGCAAGTGCTCTGATTAAATCTGTTTAAAGATGTTAAAGCTGCAAACTTCACATGTCCCTGCCAGGTCATTCTCTTACTGGCTCTGCAGAGCTGCTCACTGCCGCACTGATGCCCATCCTGCATATTTAACAGGAATTAAGAAACAGGTGTCTTAATCCTGCTGCATTTGATTATCAAATAGTATAATGTGAATTGATATATTATAAAACCACATTTTTTAATGGTAAATATTATTAAATACAAAATAATCAAGTTGATGGACTTTTTCTAATGTGATATCTGGGTCAGTTTCATGCATCACTCCCTAAATAAGGGGTCAAAATAAGGACAAGCATTGATAACGTCCCACTTTCCATTCTCACGATTTACAATGTTACCGCATAAAAAGAAAATTGGGCGAAATGTTTATTCCGAGAAAGGGCTTCAGGGCAGGCTGGTGATGTACTTTGCTGTGACTGCATGTTGAGAGACGCATCGTTCCTGCATAATTCAACAGCCTTTCATGGAATAATGTATAATAAACTCCCTCTCTTGATCATTTCCTGTGAAATGCACAGGCACAAATGATGCATTTACCATTTTATTTTGACCGTGCACATATATTAGTATGTTATATTTGATTTAAAAAGATTGTTCATTTTCAATTTATCATTTTAAAAAACTGCTGAAAATTGTGTTTTTTTTTAAATGCCACTTTAATGTATTTTAGAAATAGTGCAATGCACTAAAGACAAACGACTTGTTTAGGAGCCTCTTTGATGTGAGCTGCTCTGACATATTCTATGACATCCAATCCTCTATTTGAGAGGCCAGTGTAGTGTATAGAGTTGCAGTTCATCAATGGTACCCAAAGTGTTGGGAAATGGTCCCCATTGTGAGCATGTAACTGATAACTGTCTATCTCATTAGACTCCAGTAATGTGTCACTGAAAAAAAAAAAAAAGAAAAAAAGAAAAACATTGCTGTTGCTGTTTCCTCATTTAGAAAATGTTATTTAAAAAAGGTAGTATTTGTGGATCATTTCTTTGCATCCTGATTTAAAACACCCCTCATGAACTATGTAGAAGAATGACTGAATATAGATGAAAACATGACTATACTCCCACTTTTATTGCCATGAGAACAGGCTTATAGCTTTCTAGCTGATGCTTTTATCTAAAATGTGCATCTGTCATACAGGACTGTATTTCTATTTCTAAAGGAGTTACTCCTTTTAGAGCATCGAAACACAGTTCCTGGATGATGGATTAGAATGTACAGTAAATATGGCCTGCTGTGCTTTCATTTACTCATAAATGCATTTCTTTTCTTTGCACAGTTTCCCAAATGGTGATCGAGGAGGTGAACGTACTACAGACCCAGCTTGAGATTGAGAAATCTTGCCGGGAAAATGCAGAGGCTCTGGCTACCAAGGTGTTTATCCAACAATACTATTCTTCTGTTTTGTCAGAAAACGTCTCGGGTTATGTCTGTAACCCTTGTTCCATGAGAAAGGGAATGAGAATTGCGTCGAATGACACTTTGGGGAACGCCCCTCAGCATAGCCCCTCTGAAGCATGAATGAAACTAGACCAATGTGTTAGCTTCTGTGATGAAGCAAGTGCTCCCAGGCAGGGGAAGGCGTGGCGAAGGGACGCAGGTTTTGTTCCCTTTCTCAGGGAACAAGGGTTACAGGCGTAACCCGAGAGGCTCCCTTTCGAGGGAACTCAAACTGCGTCGAATGACACTTTGGGGAAACGAGTACCCACTATGCCACAAGTGCCAGTCTGCATAGAGGGTGAGACCTTAGACCCCCCTAATAGTTTATATAGGCCACTACCAACAAGTTGTCTGACCTCACAAGGACACGATGAGCTTTGATGTCCGGCAGGAAGCTCCTCAGAGCTCGTAACACCGCCAACATCTCCAGGCAGTTTATTTGCCAGGAGGAATGATGGTCCTGCCATAGGGCTGTCATAAAGCGGCCATCTATGACAGTGCCCCAGCCTGTGAGGGAGGTGTCTGTCGAAGCAGTTTTCCAGCGACATGACGCTCCCAACACTGAACCTTGGGACAGGAACCAAGCCTTTTTCCACATGGATAGGGAACAAGGCATCTGCGCGTAACCTTGATCATGTGGAACTGGTTCCCCTTTGGGCCAAATGGAACCCAGCAGGCCGAATGGAATAATGTTGGACGCCGCTGCCATGAGCCCTAAAACTCTGAAAATGTTTTACAGTGATGGCTTGGCCTAGCTTTATCCTGGACACTGGGGCAAGAATTGACTCGATTTCATGATGGACACATTCGTGCCCCTATCATGACTGAGTCCCACACCACTCCCAGGAACGTGGTTCTCTGGGCTGGTGTGAACACGCTTTTTTTCGTGTTGATTCTCAACCCCAGACTCTCGATGCCAAACTGCCAGCTCTTGTGACTGGGCCAGAATCAGGAAGTTGATGATATAGTTAAGCACCCTGATGCCCTGGAGCCTCAGTGGTGATAGAGCTGCAACCATACATTTGGTAAATGTGCCAGGGGTGAGATCTAGGCCAACCTGAAGAACCTGATATTGGTACGCTTCTCCCCCGAAAGTTAACCTCAAGAACTTCCTGTGAGATGTAAGAATGGATATGTGGAAATATGCGTCCTTTAGATCTATCGTGACAAGCCAGTCCTCGAATCGAATTTGACTCACGATGATGGGAATAGTGAGCATCTTGAACCTGAATCTCCTCAGAGAAAGATTCAAGTGTCAAAGATCTATTATTGGACACAACCCCCCATCCTTTCTGGGAACTATAAAGTTGCGGATGTAAAACCCGGACTCCCTCTCTGGTGGAGGAATACGTTATATAACCTCCTTTACCAGCAGGGAGTTTACTTCCTGTTCCAGTACCCGACCCTGCACTAGGTCGACTGCAGTCCAGACCACCCAGTTGAACCTTGGTGTGCGGAAACCGAACTGCAGCCTGGACCCCTTTTGAATAGCGCACAGGACCCAAGGCGAAATATTCGTACGATTTTTCCACACATCTAAATATTTTACTAAGGGAACCAGGCTCTCGAACTTGACTCGGGTACCAATCGGGATTTGTTCTCAACCCCCTGAAGCGGATCTCTGGCAACGTTTTACCGAAAACGGTTCTCGATTGGTGGACGCCAAGCCTGTGGGGCGGACAGTGCAGTACACATTCGCTAGAAACTGATGCGTCCCGAAGTGCACTTGGCAGCGAGAAGTCGACATCGATTTCCTGCAGACTTGACGGAGGAGGCGACCTTGATCGCTCCGCCACGGGTGGGGCCACCCATAGAGAACCTAGGCTGGCTAGGACCTCTTAGTCAAAGTTTTTTTTAGCCTGCAAGACGGCCCTCAGGTCGCCCTGATGTTGCTTGAGTAGGCAGAGGAGCTGGCGGCTGGCTGCGGCTGCCCACTAGGGGTAGACTTCTTGGATTTCAGTGGCGAGGGAGGTATTGCTTGAAGGCTGCAGACTGTTATGAAAGCATCTGATCATAGCGATCTGGATATGTTTGCATAAGCTTTTTAATTCGGCACTCCATTCAATTCATGTCACAGTTTTTTATTTAGCCCTTTATATAATAGACTGCTTTAAAGCAATCAGCGTTACATTATTGAACACAAAAAGTGCTTTAAAACTACAACTTCAGTTCAATACAAAGTAGCTCGCCAGTGTGTTGTTTTTACTCATGTAGAAGATTTGGAGAAGATTTCTTCAAAGAAGGGCGGAGCCTCAGAGCATATTTATGAATCGCCACTGACCAGAAAGTTTAAAGGTGTTTATCAGCGAGGTGAACATTTCCGTAAAGTTTGATTTGGCGCGCTGTTTCTAGTTTAAGAAACAAACTGACTTTGTTCAAAATGACATCACACCAGTTCGTTCTGCAATTTAACTTGAAGTATCTTAACGCCTTAATGAATTTGTCTAGTTATGACTGTTTGTTGACAATTTCAATCTCTACTAGAAAGCAATATAATCATAAAAACAAATGCTGTAGTTAACATGATTATAATTGGTGAACATAAAAGGAGACATTTAAAACTATGTCTCATTCTGAATTCTCATTCAATCATTCTGTTTAGTTGAACTGTGAGAACAAGAAGTTGAAGTATTTGAGCCTGTCATCGCGGCCATGTCTGGACGAGCTGCTGCCCAGTATTTCTGATTGCATTTCCCTAGAAGAGGAGACTGAACAACAAGATCCCAGTTCTGACCCCTTTTCTCAGTATAAGCTGCAGGTCAAAGGTAAATAGCATAGAGCCTGTGTATCATAGCAATGTATTTAAATGGGGGGCAGTTTATAAATAAGCCTGTGTACAATTTCCTTCGCCATAGAATAAATGTCCATTCCAAATTCTCATTTTTCCATAGATCTCCAAGAAACCGTGAGTTCTTTGCTGGAGGAGAAGAAGCAGTTGGCATGTAAGCTTCAAGAGCAGCAAAGGAAGATAGACGAGTTGACAGCACTTGTGAGTAGCAAAGCAACTCTTTTACTTTTTACACTGAATGAAAGGCCGAACTCAGTCAGGCTTGACGGCAGTGGATGGGGGCCTGGTCTGCAAAGTGTCTTCCAGTATTTTAACCTGTTCATAAATAATAAATGAACCATACTGTATTGATGATCCTAAAAGGATATCAGAGTAACAATGTCTAATTGAGTTTCTTTGTTGATCGTTTCTCAAATATGTGCCTTATGCTAATTTGCAGACTGAAAAGGAGCAGGCTGAGATGAAGGAGCTTTATAAAACCATTGAGCAGCAAAGCAAGACCATTAAGAGGTTCAACAGGGGTGAGTATGGACTTTGTGAATACAGAGCCTCTTCATTTCCTCACTTGTATTCAAATTCATGAGCATGACATCATCTCAAATGGCCTGCAGTGCATCTGTGCATGTGCCTTCCAAGAAGATTAATGTTCCCCACCAGCCCACTCACTGCCGGCCACACGTCAAAGTCCTTGATCAAATTATCTGTAAAAGATTCACCACAGGAAGTCCCTCTGTTCCAGCTGGGGGTGATGCACTTTGTTTTGACATCCTCTCAGCTCCCTCTTTGCTCATGTGTTATTACTTTGACTGGAATATTGGAAACAGCAGTGCTCAGGTCATATGCTGACTTACTTGACTGACTTAGTGGGTTTAACATGTTTATTTTTAAGACTAACAGTTTTGCCTATGAAATCTGATTGAAGGAGCCACATTGTAACATTGCTGATGCAAGTGCACATGTGATTGAATATCGGTTGAATAATACATGAGTGTGTCACTGTTCATTAGGGATGGAAACCGGTTCTTATTTTCAGCCATTTCCATTTGCAAAGAATACCATGACAGTAAAGAGACAATATAATCAAAATATGTTTTCACAAGTAAATTACTATTATGAACTGGTTCTTATTTAATTAAAATGCCTAAAATGCTTAAAAACCTCAAAAAAGGTTCCTACTGTTCAAAAGTTTGGGGTCGGTATGTTTTTTAAAGAAGTCTGTAATGCTCACCAAATATAATGCTGCCTAATATTTGGGTGGAAACTGGGATACATTTTTTTTTTCCAGGATTGAATAGAAAGTTCAAAAGAACAGCATTTGTTTAAAGTAGAAATCTTTAAACATTTTAAATGTCTTTCCTGTAACAATTGAATAAATATTTGAAGTTATTCCCATCCATACTATCCATCGAATAATCTATTCCTGTAAAACAGTGTCTATAATATTTGCCTTACTAGGGATGCCCTAAAAAAGATTTGGCATATATCTTAAAACCGATAAGTAATGTATTATATCCTTTAGCTGAGACACTTCAGATGTGCACTGTTCGCCATTATGGTTTTGAATTGCTTGAAATATGATTAGATTTTTATTTTTGGTAAGGAAGTTTATGCCTGAAGAATTCTTACAGGGATTTTGCCATGCCTATTGCTTTATTATGATTGTTTATCTCTTTAGTGTCTTTGATGGCCACTCAGGAGTATGAAAACATGAAGGAGCATCTGGATTTGGAGCAGAGCCTTCGGCACAAAGCAGAGACCTATGCACATGAGGTATGTGACAAAACATATCTAATTCACTTCATCAGTACACGGTTGACAGGACAACTCCAGTCCATGCATACTCTGGTGACCTCAGAATCCTACTAAAAGACAAGATAATTATATATATATATATATATATATATATATATTGACTGTAGAGTTTGAATTGTGTATGGCTGCCTGCATCACGGTAGAATGTTTAATTTCCTTTAGTTGTTAAAGATAACCATCTGAAATAGCCTAGTTGTTTCCTTATGTATATTTTCTCCTGTAGATGGTGGTGAAGCAAAAAGAAGCAAACAGACAGAGCATGATTCTGCTACAACAGGTAGATCCCAGCATTCAACTGCTCAAAGCTTTGGAAGATTTGGCCAATGTGACCAAAACATTAGAAGAAGAGAGAATACAGCACCAAGACAAGGTAGGAAACCATAAAGTCTTTTAAACACATTTGAATTTGATTTAAAGATTGGAATGTATGTAAGGGTTAATGCCCGACGAGGTGTCCATTGTCAGGTTTTAATGGACGACGGCGAGGCGTAAACCGGCCGACGCGCAGCGGAGGACGGTTGCCTCCGCCGAAGTCCATTAAAACCTGACAATGGACACCTCGGAGGGCATTAACCCGCTTATACCATGGTCACTTGCCAAATAAAACATTTTTAAAACATTAGTTTATATTTTAATTAGGCTAAATCTAGTTTTTACAAATAATAACTTGCCTTGCCTGACTGTTTATTTAGCAACCGGAGATATTTATAGTCCGCTTAGCTCGTATCCCTTCAGGTTCACAAATGCTTTTTTTTTTTTTTTCATGAAACACAAAGGTAGGTAGGCATAGTTTTTTTTTTTTTATTACACATAAAACAATTAATCAAACAACAATAAAAATACAATTAGCTCTGAGGTCCAGCGATTTGCGCTTAACGTTATAGAGGGCAATAAATTAATCAGATCAAAGAGAGGGTCATTTGCCTCAGGCTCCTTAGGCTTGAAACGCTGTAACGTTCAGCCTTCTCCTGCCTTGGTTGTCTGGACAGCTGCGTAAAACTCCCGCAGGGTCTCATTCAGGGGTGCGTTTCCCGAAAGCATCGTTATCCAACTATGGTCGCAAGTTACGTCGTTACCAATAGCGTTCAATGGAGCAGAGCAGCAGCGGTGTAATTTTATTCTCCATAAATGTTAAAAGAAATAGCACGAAGTCGCTCATTGTTGTATTAGGCTATAATATCTAACGTTAGATGATAGAGCATGTGACTGCCTGTTGCTATGGTTACTCACAGCCGTTGTAGGCAGCGCATTTATTTATTCATTTCGAATGGTAAACAGGCAGTTTCACCAGAACTACTTTACTAGGTGTCCTCTATCACTTTTTAACGGACACCCTGCAGCCAATCAGAATCGAGTATTCACCCAGACCATGGTATAATGTATTTCATTGAACACAATAAGCCTGATAAGTAATCCTGAATTACATGATAGGATTAGAAAATGGAATTTAATCTAAAACCCCTTTTTCAGTTATTTAAACAGTCAGCTACAGCTTTTACAAAAATCCTTTCATAACTACTAATCCTCTAATGTTCGTTTTTTAGAACTTTGTAAACGGTTTTATCTGTGCCACGCACAATCCAGTTTAAGCAGGCACTAAATGGGATGAAAAAGTGCTGTGCATTTATCTCCACTATAAAAATGAATATGCTTTATCTAATCAATAAAATTGTGGCAATCGATTACAAGCAATATTATTAATTAAATAGGAAAAATTAGAATTGATTAATACTTAATCAAAATATTAACCTAAAACAAACACTGAGCACCATAATGGTGACTTAAACATACTTTCTATGTAAGTATGTAATGTAAAAATGCAATCTTAAATCTTTAGAAAATCTCAAAATGGATTATTTTTAATTAATTTTAACATTATAATGTTGCCTTAATTCACTTGTAGAATTTAAATGATTGAATTTAGTTAGTAGTGTTTTATATTTCATTAATTTAGACAAAATAGTATTGACTAGTTCATTTGCAGCATGTATCCATGTATGCGGTGAAGTTGGCATTTTAAACAGCTGATTCAGGTGTCTGGTGTCTGGTTGAGTGATGCTGTACGAATATGCCAGATCATTGACCGCATTCATGTTTTTTTTTTTTTTTTCATCTGGGTCTCCTGTGGCTCTTCTCTTCTACACTTGCATCCTCAGCAGTTACATATACAAGTTTTCAAACCACATTAAATGACAAACATATGTGAGTGGTAGGCTGTCAACACAACCACAACTAAACCAACAAAAATCTCAAGAGCACCAGAGGAGACATCCGGAGGCTTGATAGATTCATTCAACAGCTTTCTGTGTTAGCAAATACAGAATTTCCAGATCATCAGATACTTTTTACACATGATAGTTACAGACTGGATGAGCTAGACTCAGATCTAGGCAATATTCTGTTCATGCAGGCAGTGACAAAAGGGCAAATGCTGCATAACTAATACTAACATATGGGTTTTAGAGTTTGTGAACTGAGCACTGTTGTGTCATCAGTCAATATACAGTCTGACCCACAATTCAAATCCAAAGAGCATGGATCCTAACTTCAGACGTCACATAATCAATAGGCTATGTTAGCAAAACCTTGTTTACAAGTCAGCCTGTAAATATGAATTCTGTACCAGAGTCAAGGACATTTGACATTTTGCACAGGTTTGAGTTCCATTCAAGTTTATTGTCCCAATTCAATCTAAAAGAATGAAAAAAAATAAGTCTATTTAAACAAATCATTTCAATAAAACTGTTTATGGGCATTTAACTCAATATTTGAGTATTGAAGTCCTTGTAAAAATGTTTTGCTAAGTTATGAAAACACAATTTCTGAATGTTTCTTGCTGAAGATGATAATTGTGTCATCAGCATACATCTGACATTCAGCTTTTTTACAACATGATGGTAATTCGTTTATGTATAAGCTGAAAAGCAGAGGCCCCAAAATCGAGCCTTGTGGAATTCCCATTGTAGATTTTCAATGTTCTCTAAACATTCTGAAACAATTTAAAAATGATTAGTCGAATATCCAACTCAAACGTTTGAGGAAAAAAAGACATCCAAAATGTGTATTGACATCCAAATAATGTATTGAGATTATTTTTGTGCTAACATTTTGAGAACATTATTAAAGAACAGATAACTTTGAAAAAGAAAAAACATTATATTATTGCTGGAAAAATTTTGTTCATAATCTTGCCAGAACTTTAGCCAAAGTTCTCAGAATTTTCCTTATTAGCTGGGAAGATTGTGATGTGTTTTTTCTACATATAATTCAACCAAAGTTTCAACAAAAATATGATTTTTTTTTTAACACAAAAATAAAATTAAATCATTATATAGTCTATGGTAATTGTGTAATACTATGGAATTTTCCACATACAACTTAGTTTTATTGTAAAAAAAAGTTTTTTGTTTATTTTAATAAATTTACAATTAACACAAGCCTGACATGTTTTCTCTCTGGTACGCCCTCAACTCTGAGACTTGAATTAAACCTGTGCATACACTTTAAAAATGCAGGGTTGTTTTAGCCCAAATTTGGGTCAAATATGGACAAACCCAACTGTTGGGTTTTAAATTAATTAAAAGATTTAACCCAATAGCTGGGTTTGTCCATCTTTTACCCATATTTGTGTTGAAACAACCCTGCATTTTTTAGAGTGTACTAATATAATCTTTTCAACATGACTTGATTGTATATGTCCCATTCGTTTGCAGGTAAAGGCTCTAGAGGCTGAACTGGAAGAATGTGCTTTGCGTAAGCAGCTAGTTCATCTGCAAAGGCAACTAGAGATATTAGATGAAGAAAAGAAAGACACGGAGGGACGACTGCAGGAGGAAGAGAAGAAAAACAGTGTTTTGGAAATGAAAGGTAAAATTAAGGAGGATTTTAAATCTTAAGGCCAGATACTACAACTCAGAAACATAACGTCCCGCCTCCTTTTGTCGTTTGTCACAGTGAAAGATCTGCAGGAGGAGAGGAGGAGCTGTGATTCAGCATCAGCCCCCTCCCCTGGGACCGCTCCTCCCCCGGCCCCTCTTCCTCAACCACCTCCACCTCCCCCACCCCCTCCTCCTCCACCTCCCCCACCTCCTCCATCTCGCTGCAACCCCCTCAGGTAACGCCCCACTTTATTGCACTGAAGCCAGACTGTCATACACCATCATTAAAACAGTTTTGTTCTTTATCCCTGCTGTGAACGTCTAATTACATCTCTTTGTTTACGCCAGCTCTCTCATTGCGATTATGAGGAAATCTTCCAAGGGAGGTAAAGGAAGCCCAAAACAAGAGCAAGCCCCAGGTGATTGTCCCCCTTTTCCCTATAGTCAGAATGGTGTATTTTTATTATGTTGCCCTGACAAACACTATCTCTCTTAAATGCAGTAACTGAAGCTGTGGATGACGTTAAAGTGAAAGCCGTCAATGAGATGATGGAGAGAATTAAACACGGAGTGGTACTCAGGCCTGTGAAGAGTCAGGACACTAAGGTTCGGCAAAATTCTGAATTTATTTGGCTTGAAATTTAAATCGAATTGGCCACACCCCACATGATTTTGAATTCTGTGAAATAGAGTGCACTTCCATCATAGGCTAAATACAAAAATATATAAATGGCATTTCAAATGTTTACACTGCTGTTTAAAGGTTAGGGGTTGGTACATTTTTTTAAATGTTTTTGAACATAATTCACACCAAGGCTGCATTATTTGATCAAAAATACAGTAAAACAGTAATATTCTGAAATAGTGTTACAATTTAAAATGACTGTTTTATTTTTGAATGGTCACACTTTAGTTTAGGGTCCAATTCTCCCTATTAACTAACTATTAACTATATGACTTGTCCCTCAAAAAACGTTATTATTGCTTATTAATAGTTAGTTAGGTTGTTAAGTTTAGGTATGAGGTAGGATTAATATATGTAGAATATACATATGTTAACATTTTAATATATTATAATATAATGTTTGTTTGTTTTTTCCTTTGATGCAAAGCTGAATTTGAATCTTCATTACTGCAGCCTTCAGTGTCATATGATCCTTCAGAAATCATTCTAATATTATGATTTGTGTCTCAAATCATTTTAATAAAATGATTTGCTGAAACAATTCTCATTATTATCAAAATTTTTGATATAAAATTTACATTTATTTTCTCCATTTTTTTATTTTATTTATTTTTTACCATTTTTCAGGATTCTTTGATATATTTGAAAAGCTCCAAATGACAGCATTTATTTGAAATTGAAATATTTTGTTACATTAAATGTCACTTTTGATCAGATTTATTAATTTATTAGTGCACTTGTTTTTTTTAATGCTAAACATTTTTAACGGATTATTAAAAAGTACTTTTAAAATAATTCGAATTTAATTAAATCCACAATAATTTCTTAAAATTTCTTCATTTCTTAAATTCAAATTGCAATCCTAGATCTTGTTTGCAACTCCAATTTAAATTCAGAAGCTAAATTTGAATTTAATATGAATTCAGTTGTAAACTGTACATTGATTATGTATTGTGTGTACTGATTGATGGTCTGTTTATGTTTCTCTACTCTGTACCATCATCTGCTGACCTCATCGTTGTAGAGATTTGGCACGAAGGTATGTTCAGCTCACGCATATTGTTTACAGTGTTTAACAACAGTCCTCACACCAGATCATTGTTCCACATGCAGCAGTGTTAACAGTTCAGATGGCTCTATTACAATCAAGTTTTACAACTCAGCACCATTTTGTCAATACAAAGATCCTGTAGAAATGGTTCATAGCACTTGATCGCCCTCCCTGAGGAAGAGTCGGATCATTAAGGCATTTTGCGTATAGACAGTTCATAGCCTGAGAGGGGACCCATCTTGTTTAAGTTATTGATGGACAAAGCCATCAAGATCATCCTGAGGCCCAGAGGAGCTGTATACATTCAGATCAATAGCTTTAGTCCCAATTTTAGAGATTGACTGCATTCTCATTAATGCTGCACTGGCAGATTGTCTTTTGTTTTTGACTTTTGGACGTTACTTATCTAAAATGTATGAATAAACTTAAAAAAAAAAAACATGATAAATCACCAATGTTATTTATATACTTTTAAAGTATTTAATAAAAATATGAATTGGTACATTTTAATTTTTTCAATTAAAATTGAATGCGTTTTAAGAATTTATGTTTTTCTGTCATTTTAATTAGTTTCTTTTAATATTTCTATTGAGCTTTAGTTTTAGTCATTTTACTTCAACTTAAACATATTTATTTCAGTTAACAGATAAGGCAAACATTTTCATTTTTGCTTTTCATCTAATATTATATATATATATATATATATATATATATATATATATATATATATATATATATATATATATAATATTTGAAAATTTTTATTTTATCTCAGGTATACTATTAATTACCAAAATGATTTTTTAATAGTTTTAGGTAAAAACTACAACAGGGATATTATATCATATAATGTTTTTTTGTGAAAATATTTTGTGATTTGAATATATAATGTAACTTTTCTTTGTTCCTGATCCACAGCAGCCGATGCCAGCAGCAGTTGCAGTGGCAACAGTGGAGGAAAAGCACCAAGAAAGTGCAATGGAAGAGCTGAAAGGCATTCTGGTAGGCTTTCTGATTAACTGATTTTAATACCCCCTTGTCATCTACTGATCCACAGATTACAGAAATCCATACCATTATTTGTTTGTTTGCAACAAATAGTTCTACGATGACGGTCATGGTGTTCAGTAGTGTTTGTGCGAATAAATGCATAATATACTAAAGTATTCTTTACTTAGAAATGCCAAGATGCCAAACTCAGCAATGAATCGTTCATCAAATTCTGTACTCTCTCTGAACCTTTAGGAGACGGTGAAGAAGAGTCCCAGTCGTGGGTTTCAGGAAGTGGTTCACACTAAAAAGGACAGTGAACTGGAAGTAATTCTGAGGAGGAGACGCAAACAGGCCTGTGATCCTGACACAGAAGGCAAGATGATAAACACTACTCTGAAATAGTTGAACGTATGCATTTACTACGTATTTGCTGTTGAAACAGGAAGTATTACATACTTTATCAAAGGGCTTTTAAAATAGCCTGTAAGTTCTACACAGCTAACACAAAGAATGTTTGCTAACGTCCCCATTAAGTTTATTGGAAATGGAAACATTTGGAAAACATTCCATTTTATCTTTTTGCAAACATTATGGAAACGTTACTTTCAAAGTTCTCTAAACATTCCGAAACAAGTTGTAATGTTTAAAAAAGGTTAGACAAACGTCCAGTTAAAACATTTCAGAAAAAAACAAACAAAAAAAAAACATGATATTTAAATAATAATTTATTAATATAAGTTAGCTTCTTCCTTCTCCTTTTTTTTCCTATATTCTTTTTCTTCTCTTTTGAACATGCTGAGATTTTCTTTTTATTATTTTTTGTTTAAATATGCTCTGTTATCAATGACCATGTTCTGAAGAGGAAAAGGAAATGAAAAGAAATAAAATTATTCAAATTATTCAATTATTCAAATAATATTTTTGTGCTAACATTTGGAGAACATAATAAAAACACTTGGTAACTTTGAATGAATATTCTATTAATGATACAAAGAAGTTTTTTTTTTTTTTTTTTTCCACAGCTTTGTAAAGTTCTGGGAACAACCATGAACCAGTTGCTACTTTCTATTTCTAGGCAATTTTGATTGGATGAAATGTGTGTAATGCAGGAGGAGTAATTATTATTTTTGCTTGGATTTCCAGGAAGAGAAAACCTGAATATTTTGAAAAGTATATACTGTATCTAAACTAATGTCAGCATATAGTAGTTAAATAGCATATAGAAAAAAGCTAATAGGCATGGACTAAAAGCTACAAAAGAAATATTTGATGCCTTTAAGTCGTGGTGGTGATGATGATAATGACATTAATGAAAAATGTATTCTGCATAATTCTGCATAACTCGAGGGAATAATGACACTCCTTCATCTGTTGCTCTATAGATGATGGGCAGCTGAGTAAAGTCTCGTCATCAAACAGCCTGAACGGACGACACAGTTCTGACTCTGGCAAAGACACAGAAGGGCCAGGCAGCAGCTCTCTGTCAGGCAGTGAGCGCGGATCAAGAACCAGCTCAGACTCGGGCCGAGAGCCAGCCATGGCTCCACAGGGCTCCGATTCTGGCATGGAGTTCAAAGGAGGCGCTCAGACAGACAGTGTCTGCAGATCTCTCTCTGAGAAAGAGCCCATTGAGCCGGCCACCAACGGCTGCTGTTCAGGGTAAGGTTACGCTCACACAACTCGTTTGTTCAGCAGTCAATCACAATAAATTAATTAAGATGTTAAAGTGCCCCTATTATGCCATTTTAAAGATTCCTAATTTAGTTTTAGAGGTCTCCGACAATGCATGCATCAAAAACACTTTAATTTTCTCATAAGCATTGCAGCCTCTTTTGTCACAGGGTCGGAAACAGTTTGATAATAGATCCAGTCTCTCTAAACTCCTCCTTTCTGAGAGCGTACTCTGCTCTGATTAGTCAGATGGCCCAGTCTGTTGTGATTGGTCTACCAATTACATTGCCTCTCAGAAACGAATGGCACTTTTCCACTGGTGGTACGGCTCAGGGGTGCGTTTCCCGAAAGCATCGTTAGCCAACTATGGTCGCAAGTTCCGTCGTTATCAGCATAGTTCAACGAGTTGGTGTTTCCCGAAACCATCGTTCCAACGAACATTCGCAAACAGCATCGCAAAGTTGTGTGGTTTGAACGACAGCTTTCGACCTGTGGTTAGAAGCATCGTTTCTATATTTCATGACATTTGGACGTAATAAATCCTTATTTTGAGCAAAATAAGCAAGCTGACATTCAGTACAACCGGTGCCTTTTATTTAGAATACATACAAATGGAATTTACGTCTTTTAGTTTGTCAAAAGATTTGAAGTACCGTGTTTGAAGAGTGCGCATGTGCGAACGTGCTCTACTATGTAAGAAAGAGTCTGGTAATAAAGCAAAATAACTGAGAACAATTAGAAATAGTCCTCAGATGACATGTCTGTAATTTATATTAACAAATCTAGCATTAAAAAAATTGGAATCGATTCAGAATCATTTCTCGATTCACGATGCTTCGATTTATTTTCCTAGCCCTAATGAACTGTAACAATGGCGTCGGTTTTACCGCATCAATTCGAGCCCTCATCCATGCAAAGTGGTTCTGCTTTCACAGCGCAGAAAACAGCGTCTTCTCGACATGTCGACAACATGAACCAAACTCTTCCAGGCCACTGTTTGAGGGTCAAATTAGCAGATGATGTTTGTGGACAGTCAATGAAGACCATAGGCTGGCATTATGCAAATTTGTTACAAAACTACAGTACATAGGTTTGAGCAGGAAATTAGACTGAATTAATGATGACTTGTTTCAGGCAGATTAGAATCAGTTTCTGCTTTTGGGAGACAATAACTCCATCTGCATTTTGATCTTTGACACTTTGTAGGCCTTTTATATTCACAGCTATATTACACACTACATGAAAGGTAATATCTAAAAACGATTAATAGGGGCACTTAAGTATGGCATATATTATACGTAGCCTGTTCACTTTTGTTGTAATTTTTGCATATTCTTTATGATCAGTGAAGTGAAGGATGGAGGTCCAGAGAAGTGGGACAGTGGGTCCAACGGGATTGGCCATACGGATGCAAGTGAAGACCTGCAAACCATCAGCTCCTCTGCACAAAGCCCCAATGCAGCAAAGAGTAGCACAGACGCCGAATGTTAACGGCAAGTGGCGCTGCAAGGACCGCTGCATTTTTGCACAAAACCATGCTTTCTAAATTAGTTTGTTCCAAATTTAAAATCAGCTGGTCATATTTCAAAATATTATAGAAAGTTCATTTCATCATTTGCAGCTTGATTATAATTACATTGAAACAAAAAACATCTTACCAGACACTTTTTTTCTTCTTCATTCCTCTCATTGACAATGTACTGTATCTGCCTTTACCTATAATAAACACAGGGTGTTTAGATGTTAGGGACATCTGTCATAAACTTTAGATTAATTCTATAGTTGCTATTAGATTCATCTTAGATTCATGGATTCAACATCTGAGTCGCATTTCCATAAAAATGCAAGCAAGGAAACTTTAACGATGAAGTGTGTAATTCTGTGCCACTAGCAGCAGAATTTGAGTCTTTTTTAGTGATCTGGATCCTTTAGCATTCCCTTTCATCTCAATTATTCGGAAACGGTGGTCATTTGGACCCCATTCACTTTCATTGTATGGACAAGAGCAGTTGAAACATTCTTCCTATTTGTTTGACAGAATTATACCTTAAAGATAGATACATTTTGCTTGCTAACCAGTCAAACCTTGATGCCTCAGGCCCAATTGACAATTCTCAATCAACGTGTGAGTTTGAGGTGAATAATGGCAGATGCTGCAAGTAGCACAGAATTGACTTCAGATTAAATGCAAAGCATCAGAACAATCCTGACAGAATCACTGCACTGCACATCATGGCACCTTGTTCTTCTAAAAAGGTCCTAAGTGTGAACTAGACTATCCAAACATTAATCAAGAGATGCAATTATAAGCCATGTAATCGAATTTACCATAAAGAGGAACTGGTCTGTTCTGTCTACCTCTTAAGACACACCTCTTGGGGATTTGAGATCATACATCCTAGATATTAGGAAAATAAATACCATCAAGTCATGGAGGGCTACACACGCATGTCTTCCGCCATGGCGTTTCCAAATATTTGCACTGCATGAATGCACTGTACAAAAGGTTGACTTTGATTGACAGTTGCGTCTTGATTAGATCCGCTCTCTAACTCTGAGCTGTTCCAATGCAATATCATCTGCAAATTGTAATATTGTGCAGGATCAGGATGCCTCTAATAACTGCGAATATTTGCCTTGTGACTCCTCTTGACTCTAGGTGGATCATGTTAATGGTACGACGTGAGTAATATTAATGAGACAGTTGAGTTCTGGCCGTCTCATTTGTCCTGTTTTTATCGCCCAGCTAACAGGTGACGTTCCTAGATCTTTGGCTAATGTTCTGTTATGAATAAATGTTCTTCCTGTAACGTTTGTTCAAAAGTTATCTGGCGTTTAACAACATTCTTAAAATGTTATTTATACATTGTTCATGGAACTTTTTTTCTGAAATGTTTTAGTTTTTCAAATGCTTTTTGAACGTTACTCCTTACTGCTCGTTCAGAGAATAGACGACTCAAAAAGTAACATTCTCATAATGTTTGCAAAATGATAAAATGGAACGCTCCCTTAATGTTTTCTGTATATTTGCATAACCAAAAAATTAAGAAATTGAAAGTTTTTTTTTTCTTTTTACATTTAAAAACTGGATATTTGAACACTAAGAGAAAATACAGAAAATAATTTAATGGGAACGTTAGAAAAACTTTCTTTGGGCTCTTTCACACAGAATGTGCTTTGATTCATCTTCAAAAAACGTTGAACTTGTTTTAATTTCAGCGCCACATTTTAAGAGTGGTGTGTCATTCGTGAGAAGCTGCAAAAAACGTGAGCACAATGTCCGTCTACAATGTGATTACATAGAAAAACAATGGAAAAGTAATGCATTGGAATGGAAAAGCACATTCTGTGTGAACAGCCCCTTCGAATTTTTGTTAGCTGGGTGGTCTGAAGTCTTGATATCAGGCTATCTGACAGCTGCAATAATATATGGACAATAATTGCAAATACTGAATTACTTGTGGTTGCAATTATGTATCACTTGTGAGAAAATCTGAATTGTTTTATTATACTTGTTTTCACACTGTCATCTTTCAATTTTTAATAACCCACATTGACGTGACTCATGTACACTCTTTTTTATCGTAGGAGACTTGTTTAAATTGCTCCTTGATTTCTCACCACCTCTGGAATGTGTTTTGGCCTTAATGTTTGCACCACTTCTTCCTTTCCGGCCTTATTGGAGTGTAGGATTTTGTATAAGAACTCTGAGAGGTGATTTATCTGACTTGTGATGTTGAAATGAGTGTGTTTTGAAGCTTAACCTGAGTGTACCTGTTTTTATTTGAACTGATCGAAACCTTCCTCTTCAACACCTTTTAAACTCAACTGAATAAACTTATGAAAAAAACACTTGAAACTGCTTTTTCCTATTTAAAAAAAAAAAAATGTCATCACATCGTATCATTCAACGTAATTTAGCACAGTAAACATCGGTTGTGCATAAGCAATTAAGTTAAAATGAGCTCCTTTTTAAGTAGTGTGTTTCTCTAAGTAGCTGGTCTCTAGATTCTCTGGTTTGTATTTCGTTCATTGTAACACAAGAAAGTGCAAAACATTACTAAGAGTGCAATGAAATATACATGAAGGCATTAGCAGGTAATGCAACTGGATCTGCCAGTAAGAAACACAACCTCTCAGAAAAATAAGGTACAAAAGCTATCACTGGGGCTGTCCCTTTTCAAAAGGTATACACTTTTGTACCCAAAGGCTGCATTGGTACCTTAGTGGTACATTAGCACCTAAAATGTACTTATTAGCACCTGAAATGTACATATTAAAACCTAAAATGTACATATTACCACCTAAACTGTACATATTAGTACCTAAAATTGACATATTAGCTCATGAAATGGACATATTAGCTCCTAAAATGTAGTATGTCATAATTATGACCTTTTATGTCATAATTTATAATTTTATTCTATTACGTATCACATAATTTCCACTTTTATGTTCAATTTACATTTCTATTAACATTTATTTGTATAGTACTTTTCACAATACATAGCCTATCGCTTCAATGCAGCTTTACAGAAAAAGTACGTATTTAGAGTGATCTTATCAGAGCTGACTGTCAAAATAATGTCCACATGTCAGAAATCTGGAGTTCAGCATCATATAAATCATACAGTTAGCTTACATCATGTATTTTAGCCCTAAACAGTTTATTACAGAAATTATTACAAGTTGTGATCATAATGATTATTAGGCATAACATATAGGCCCTATAGAACATTTGGCAGTTGTGTATGTTTAGATTTAGAATCGGCATCATCTGACTTTTTATCATAAATATGATTTATCAAAGCATGTGTTATTTATCATATGTGGAGGATTTTGAGATTATTTAGTAGTCAATATCCTGTCACTCCGGTACACTAGGTGGCAGTAAGTATCGAAAGATTAAGCTTAAATACACGGCGAATGACAAGCTAGCATGGCGTCCTCATACTATCAGGAGATGCAGGAGATTTTCAGGAATAACAATAAAAGCAGAGAGTTCCCGGCTCACAGTGCTAAAGTGCATTCGGTTGCTTGGAGCTGTGATGGGAAACGTCTGGCGTCCGGATCATTTGACAAAACCGCCAGCGTGTTTGTCCTGGAAAAAGACCGCCTGGTGAGGTTTATCATCTCCCATCATCTGCAATGCACCACCCTGAATTACACAAGTGACTCACACATGTTGATTAGCTGCTATTGTTATTGTTGGTATTAGTATTTAAACTTCGTTTCAGCAGTTCTTGAGCAGTTCTCAAATCCATGATTGATCTCCATCGCGTCTGTTATTTTAATTAGCCTTTTTTTTTAAAAAAGGGATAGTTCTGAAAATTCTTTCATCATTTAACGTTAGATTACTCACAATCATACTAAACATTTAAGACTTTCGATCATCTTCGGAAAACAAATGAAACTCTTTTGGGTGAAATCTGAGTGATTTCTGACCCTCCATTGACAGCTAGCTAACTTAACTTAACGTTACACAACTAAGTTAACGTTAACCTACCACTTTGACGCTTCAAAAAGTTCATAAAGTGATCGTAAAACTAATCCATGTGAATGGGCTTTATGCCCAGCTGCACTACTTCCTGAACTTCAGCCAGCTTTTTGTTTCCTGTCTGCCATTATTGGCCAAATTGATTAATTCAGGTGTACCTGACCTCAGTAGTCATGGCAACAATAATCAGACACACCTGAATTCATCAATGTGTCCAATAATGGCAGACAGGAAACAAGGAGCTGGCTGAAGTTCAGGAAGTAGTGCAGCTGGGCATAAAGCCCATTGTGCGCTTTTGTCCATATTTTCTAGTGATTTGATCGCTTTATATGATGAGCAGATTAAATTAAGGCTTTTATTCACATTCACATATAAACAGAAGCTCAATCCAACCCACTTGACACTCTTTGAGATCAAACCTCACAAAGCTCTGATATTTCATCAACAAAATCTTTGTTTTTCTCCTTAAGATGAACGAAAGTCTTAATGATTTGGAATGACATGATGGTGACGAGTAAGAGCTGACAGAATTTAAATTTTTGGTAATTAAAAAAAAAAAAACTAATAGTAATCCTAAAAGTAATAACACGTGACAACTAACTATTTCATTTAAGTAAGCTGCTAAGCATTTAGGTTATCAGTGTTTACACTGACAATTTATTTCAATAAACATGAACTTACCCATGAATCTATATTATATTAAAAATTTGTAAAGCGCTTTGGTGGCCATTGGGTCTATGAAAGCGCTATATAAATGCAGTCCATTTACCATTTACCATTTTATATGTATCAGGTAAAGGAAAACAATTACAGAGGACATGGAGACAGTGTGGATCAGCTGTGCTGGCATCCCACAAACCCTGATCTGTTCGTCACTGCATCCGGAGACAAGACCATCCGCATCTGGGACGTACGGACCACCAAATGCATGGCCACAGTCAGCACAAAAGGTGAACCTCTAAACCTTATCTCGGTCACATCTTTTGTTCTCATGAGATGTTTATTTATCAGTGAGATATTGTCTGACAACTTTCAGGGGAGAATATCAATATATGTTGGAGTCCTGATGGTCAGACAATTGCTGTTGGCAACAAGGATGATGTTGTAACTTTCATCGATGCCAAGACACACCGTGCTCGTGGTGAGGAACAGTTCAAGTTTGAGGTCAATGAGATCTCCTGGAATAATGACAACGACATGTTCTTCCTGACCAACGGCAATGGCTGTATCAATATATTAAGGTATGTTTATCTGTAGTTCTCTTACGAGAGTACTCTTGTGGTGTGCAAGCTACGCTATGGCAGAATCCCTTTTCTCGAGAATACTGAAGCCAAAAATTATCCTTTAATTTTTCATTTATTTAAAATGCATTGTAGACCTAGGCGAGGCAACTCGCATGCCTATTGGTTGCTCTGCGGCGACAACCGAGTCAACTGTCATGATGTAAGCACCAATGAGGGTGTGGGCGCCCTTGCGTGCCATGTCCCGCCGAAATAGGCCTGGCTTATCCCTATAGAAGCCGAGTCCAGATAGGATGTTCCTTAATTTTTCATCTCTTCAGCGAAGTGTCCTCTTCACAACGCTTACTCTCCAGAGAAGCCGCGTCATTGAACAGCATCTTCAGCGGGACGAGCCTTTTGCTCTGCAGTTTGGAAGCCACCATCACCCCTTCGTCGCCGTTCCTGCTGCGCTATCTGGCGCCTATATCCTTTTTTCTTCCTTCTCTAAAAGAGCTTGAGGTGTTGTTTCAAATGCCTAATTTTTCTAAGTACTGCTCTGGCCGAGCCCCCCTCAGCGACGGGTACTGCCACATTCTGTGCGTTTCTTGCCTGGGGAAGAACCACACGGACCACTTGCTTTCCGTCAGTGGTTGCTACAAAAAGGGGCTGTAGAAACTGTCCCTCTGACTCCGAGCCAGTCAGGTTTCGACAGCAGGAAATCCTTATACCCAAAAAAGATGGTGGTCTCAGACCCATCCTAGATCTTAGGTGCTTGAACAAAGCACTGATGAAGAGATCGTTCAAAATGCTCACGACCAGACAAATCCTCACACAAATTTGCTCAAGGGACTGGTTTATCTCACTGGATCTGAAAGACGCTTATTTCCAGATTCAAATAATACCCCGCCACAGGCCTATCTGGTGATTCGCCTTCGAGGGTCAGAATTATCAGTACACCGCTCGGCCTGTCTTTAGCAGTTGGACCTGTCTTTAGCACCCAGTACTTTCACAAAGTGCATGGAGGTGGTGCTCGCTACCCTGAAACTTTAGGGGATGCGCATACTGAACTATTTGGACGACTGGCTTATTCTAGCCCAGTCAGAAACAGAACTGATAACACACAGGGCCTTACTGCTCAACCATTTATGAGATTTAGGCCTCCAAGTCAAGTGGGCCAAGAGCTTGCTGTCTCTCAGCCAGAAAAAGATTTAGACTCCATGTCCAGCGCTCTGTGGCGTCCTTCGAAGCTGGCAGTGTTTTCACTGAGAAATGATCAGAGGATGCTAGGTCTTATGGCCTCAGCCTCGACAGTGCTTCGGTTGGGTCTGCTTCGCATGCGTCCCCTCCAGCACTGGCTGAAAATCCAAGTCCTGCCGCGAGCATGGATTTCTGGTCGTCTTCGCCTCAGGGTAATCCAGAACTGTGTCACAGCACTGGGACCCTGGAAGGCGTCAGACTGGTACCAGTCAGGTATTGGTCTGCGAACAATCTCATCAAGGCAAACTATCTGAAAATCTGCGCTTGCTCGCTCACAGCAATGCATGTACCGAGCCACCAGAACTTTCTCCCAGTGTGGGACAATTTTGGCAGAGCAGATATCAATGTCTTTGCGTGAGCAGAGAACGTGCACTGTCCAATATTATTCACGAAGAGCAGGGACGAGCTTGCCCTCGCCTCTACTAGACGGCTCTGTGCTTCTAAGTGGTCTGTGTTTTCTGGCTGGTGTACAGCCTGAAGCCTAGACCCGCAAGGCTGTGGTGTTACGAAAATTCTTTCCTTCCTTCAAGAGCTTCTGGACGAGGGCAGGTCCCCCTTCTCGCTCAAAGTATATGTTGCAGCCATAGCAGCGTTCAAAGAACCTCTGCATGGCCAGTCACTAGAAAGGAACGATCTTATCATTCGTTTCCTTAGGGGAGCTAAGAGACTAAACCCTCCTCGTCTTCCTATGGTTCCAGCCCGGGACCTTTCAATGGTCCTAGAGACTATGAAGAGTGACCCTTTCGAGCCTCTGCAGTCGGTTCACTTACGGTGTCTCTCGTTCAAAACCATTTTTCTCATGGCTCTCGCTTCAGTCAAGCGAGTGGGTGATTTACACAAGCTCTCTGTGAGGGCGTTTGTATGGAATTTGGGCC